CGTCCTCCTCACCAAGGCTTTCAATCATTCTGTGTACCAGTCCAAGCCTCCTAATTTCATATATCCGGCAATGGGTTCCATGATGAAAGGTCGAGAAACCTGTCTCCCATAGACATCGTGCCAGCTCTACGATTCAATACACAATCACTGCGAGAACTTACTCGTTCAAGTCATAAAGTAAGCGAATATCCACCGCAGCCAAGGCCTTCTAAGAAACGTTTTGGCGTGATTTGTACAACATACAATGCACCTGTGAATCGCTAGCATTGAAATGATATTGTGCGTGACAAACTCATCAAGGGCATTAGCACTCGTAGTGCTTCTGGTGCCCGAGTCTCACAGTACTGGTATAACAAATGGAGCGCCCCTCCTTATCAAACGCAGTTCTTGTGGACCTGGGGCATCAAAGCAACTTACTGAAGTACCTTCCTGTGGGCTCCGTCTCAGTCCAAGATTTAGGATACCATATAATGGGATTTGAAGGCTATCAGAGGATACCACTCTCGCAACTTTACTTGTAATGGAGCTGGACGTTATTAAACGAAGCGATGCCATTTATAATATTCCTGGCACGAATTATATCTCGCTAGGAACCGAGAATCAAGGTGACTCCGAAGGCAACCTTTATGCCAAAGCTCTTCTGCCTGAAATAGCTGGTAGACTCTTGGGTATCCAGAGGAAGCAACTGTCCGAATCTCATGAAACAGCTATTTCTGGCATGGTGAGACAGGAAGTACACAGCATAGACTGACACATCTGCTGTGCACGGAAGAAATTATGCAAGTATGGCCCATTATCAAAGATTGATTTGACATGGCACGGACCCTGTGCTTAACACGGGATGAGTATAAGTCACGCATTCCTGGTAAGCTGCGATAGATTTGCCTTATAGATTGGCTCCCAGGAGCAGGTGCATCCTGCACTCCTGTGCTCAAGTCAACTTCTTATTCTCCATTCTTTCAAGAGTTGCCACATTGGCTTTACAATGCCAACCACATTAGGTTGTTGGTGACCCAGCCCTCATGGACGATGGTAGCGAAGATTTATGATTCCGTTCGCTTTCCACATTACACTGAGTGCTCCGTGCTAGAAACTAACACAAGGTACGGGTTTAAACTGTCCAGAGAGCGCTTGATGTCTCTAAAGAGGCTCATGGATACCCATGTCAAGTTTTCAGAGAGCTTCACAATTCATGAAAGGTTGAGTCTCCTTTCCCACCTCTTAAGCAGACGAACGAGTCTCTGCGACCTCACAGCATAAACCCCCAATCAACCCGCCATACGCTTCTCGCAATGACTGGGAGAACAGGTCTGCCTGTGCGTATGGACAGAAGCTGATGCCCTTGAGGTTGGCAGCGATTCGATACAGGTTCCGCACGAAAGAGCATGGTCATTTGCTATTGGCATATGTCTTGATCTTGTATTGGCAACCACAGGCATTCCTTTACTTCCGACTTTGTTGGATCGCTTTGGGAAATATTCGGCAGATGGTCATGAGACACTGTTTCAGCATGATCCTGTACCCCTATATGGAACAGGATCATCAAAGAGACTTTCGTGTGCCTTTTCTTTACAATACATACACGCCCCTGCTTCATCTATACAGAGGTTTCGAATCAAAGGTGGGAAATGTGGTGCATTATATGTGACATGGTTGCACACAGAGAAGGTGTGCGCACATTTGCTAGCGATGAGAGTACACCATCTTTCAACTATCTGAAAATAGCGGTGACGTTGTGTAATCGACATGGGACCATGGATAGCGGCATCCCTGATTACTCAAAATCAATCTTTCCATGATGTACAGGGGTGACGCTCAGTGGCCCTTACAAAGACTCCGAGCTGTCCCATATGGAGTCCAAGCCGAATTTGAGTGCCTCCACTCCAGTTACAAAACACATTTCAGAATATTATTCGCGCGGAGAAGTTTCTTGTTCTTTAGGTTTTCGATGTACGCCTTATAATACCAGAGCAACGTCGGGTCATTCAGCTGTAGATTAGCAGCATGACACGAAGATGAAGGAAGTTCTATTGCAAGCCAATGGCTTCAGGCAAAAGCTTCCAGCTCGTAGATTTGCCACGACACCTTGATCCCTCTATTACAACTTCCTCATAAAGTTTTGTGCCTAGAGCTGTGCGAATCTGCCATTGCAACATTATGTTTCTTCCTACATGCAGGTAGCATTGGTATTTAAAGACTATGTCCGACATGTTGAGATTGGCTCGGAAGTCTATGTTGTACTCCGGCTTCTAGCAAATCATCATTCACCATCGTAACACGGCAATCAGCCGTAAGCTCTTTCAGTTCGTGGCCTATCAATGCAGGACCAAAGCATGCATCGTAGGTTTCTAGGTTGGGGTCCGGGCACTGAAGTCCGCTCTTGACGGCCGAGCTGTTGAACGAAGGCGCAATCTGAGAGCGATGCGCATGGAAGGACCCAAGGGACTGCAAAACAAACCCGGAGAGGCTGTTTGCCCCTGATACTAAGAGAATGTGACGCAATACCTGTTTCTGGATGTGAGCGTAGTTGCAGATTAAGAGTCTTGCAAACTTGTAGCACGATGGAAGAAACGAGATTAGATACAAGTGTAATGCTACAAGTGCATGGCAGTGGTAAACTCTTGCCTTAAGCTCGCCCTAGAATGTCGAATTCAACCCTCCATGCAGATGAGGTACTCAGCGTATCAAGGCGCTCGAGACCCCATCCACAGGCGTTGTCTCAGATGCTCAACAAGGTCATGCAGTAGCTATAGAGTTCAAGTGAGCCTATCGCACTTGACACTGTGACGATTACATCACCCGACGTCCCGCAGAATTGAGTAGTTTCCCATGGCACCTCATATTTCAGAGAACCAGTAGATCTGCAGCGGCATTGCAGGGGAGGTATTGCATCGCTACTACGTTGTCCACATCAATTTGCTTTCGGAATGGGTTGAAATATCTGCATGTAACAGAGATTTCCTGGGACCATGTGAGGACCGCATCGAGGATTGTCTTGAACAATCACTTTCCATCCCTTTCACAGGGAGGCCACTTCGGTGGTTTGTCCATGCTCTGCGGCAAGACAGTGGATAGAGTTAGACAGGCCGAGAAACTCTTGCATGCATGACTGACCGGAGTGCTGTCCCTAAACAAAACTACTTCAGCAATCTTTCTAATGACAACCAGGCCTTTTCTTGAAGGTTGAGTGCCTTATCAGTTCAAAAGACACGAGCAGGTTTGCTTCTAGTGTACAGAATAGGCGCATGTTGCCATACAGCTTGCTTAGCTTTTGGTACAAGTTGGGGCTCGGTATAGCCCGTATTGAAGTCGTGCCTGCCCTCACGCAGGGCCTATCAGGAGCACCTCGTCTGCATTCAGACTGACACTGAATAGCCTGGTCGTCTGGCTTCTATGGGTTTTAAGTGATGCTAATGAGAGAATCGAATTATCCCCCATCCCGGGTCTCACTTCTCATGGCAATACCGCCCTAGTTTTTTTCGTTACTTGAGCCTGCACCCTCTCTAAACCTTCGGCGGGCACTATTTTGGCCTCTGGCCAGATGGCGAAACAGCTGAAGTTCTGAACCTAGCAAATTTAGCCGAATCCCATCAAATCATCTCAAATTTCCCAATTGGACATGGTCACCACTCATTCACTCGAAAGGGTCACTTTGCCTAATCGATACTAGCTCGTTCAATAATGTCATTCCGTGTGCAAGAAGGAGTTTTTCTATCCTCAACAATGGTTAATTTGTAAAACAATGCCAGATTCTCTTCACAGACTTGCGTGGAGTGCGGTTTCCTGTAAGATCAACATGCTGCGTGTGTCGCAATGATGGTAAGCATCGGTCTAGAGAAAGGACACAAATCAGAGCATACGGTGGGGTGCCTCACGATTACGGCCTGAGCAATAGGATGCTGGTGTGTTCAAGCCGCAGCGGGTATGTCGAGACCCGGCGTATCGAAGCATAATGGGATGTCAACAATCGAGTAAAAATATCATGGGCAGTGCTGGGCTGTACTCCACCTACCTCTCTAATATGAATAGATAGAGAATGGGCAAGAGTAGCGTTGATGTGCATCTGTGCAATTGCTCGACAAAACTGGGGTATGTAACCTCAAAAGTGTGATTTTACAAATATGAGCCGCTTTTTCGTCACCTTCTGCTATAGATTGTTGCCCTACAATTCTCATCAGCGTTTGCACCTTGGGACCTTGAGTTACCGTTCTGATGCCTGATGCAAGGCTTTTACAGCTCGACATTCCGTGAGAGCTCATGATGATTGGAAGTGCACGATTCTTTCTCTGGGCTTGCGGCGAGATTCTGTACAGTGAAGCTGCGGCGTGCGCAGCTTTGAGCATCGCCAGTGTAGAGCTTTTGAAAGGCCCTCTGGCTCGTTTTGTTCCATGGATCAAGTGCTGTGCTTTAGAGTGCGAGGTTGATCCCACACCACAGGCTTCAGTTCCCCTCCCGATTTACTGAGAGCAGGACCAAGGCCAGGATCGAACTGCTCATAAAATCAACGAGAGTGGCACCTTCTGTACCCGTATTCACGGGAAGCTCCTTAGCACACCTTCCACATATGACTTGTGCAACGGTTGGAGAACAGAAGGCGATGTGTCAGTTTAGCGCACAAACAACGGCTGCTGGCACAATTGTGCTGTATTCCTCCTTCAGACATCATATCGCCGTGAAATAAGAAGGAACTATATGCTGAATCCTAGTGCATACCTATCGCTTGCTCGAGAGGTGATCATAGCCGAACTTTGTTCGCCTGGATGAGCTTGTGATATCAGAGCTTTAGCCACACGAGGAACCGGATGTGTTTCAAGATTGCAAGGGTCTGACTGAGTTCTTGTTCAACCGATGGTCCGTATTGTGCTGGAGTGAGCTCTTGCGAATCTGTGAGCCACGTGTTGCGACCCTGAGAAATGCTTCTGAGGAGGACTCCCCCTGGTACAGTACTTCAAAACCGGCTGTGCGTTATCTTGGCATTACGCTTTACATTGCTAGCGCCATCACCAATCCGATTTATGATACCACTCGTACAGCTGTCTGTACACATAGCTTGGCATGAAGCCGTGTCCTTGATCTGAGCAATGGGATGGGACGTGCATGGAATCTGATCGATATGGTTGCCTCTCCCCATTGCATTTGCAGGCGTCACGGTTCCCCAGAAAACTATGTGCAGGTCCCTTCTGTCGACCTCACCAGTGATGAACAAGGAGATCAGCGCAGGCGGAACGTAGTCGAAGGAGGGGTTGTGAACTTGAAGGTATGGATGCGATGTGCTCACCGAGTCATCCACATCAAACTCAAGCCCAGATTCAGCATCCAGGCAGGAGCTACTATCTGCGCGCGTGAAAGAGGAGTCACACCTTGAGCTGCGCAAGCATCCCTACCACATCGAGCATTGCACACGATGTGACCTGTCGTGGTGAGCAATGTGCTCCAGCGTTCCCAATAAGGCTGTACCTGCTGCAAGCAACGCCTCGTCGTTGTAAGGTAGAATGCTCGCAGGAGACTTCAGCTCGTTGAAATTGAGTCCGGGCTCATGTGCAAACAGGGGTGTCAGCTTGTAAATCCCCACCAGAACCACGAAGGGGACGGCATGGTGCTTGGCCGCCATTGCCACCAGGTGCATGCCAATTGGCGCCATGATGCCCCCATCGGCCAGCAAAGCATGAGCGGTCACGACCACCTGTTGGGTGCCATGGGGCGAATATTGTCTGTGGCGCCCCGGCGGCTGGAAACAGCAGCACGCTCCCTCTCAAGAAGAGCCAGTAAATCCACTTTAGGGAAGCACACACATCTACCTTGTTCACACGAGCCATCATGGCATAGATTGCTGAATCTGAGATGGCAGTGGTCTGGATCCCTAATGCTGCCAGCTCTCGCGCCATTCGCTGACCCTCGTATGTAGGAGCAGCCTCTGCAACGACAGCCTGCACAATTTTGTTGGACATTGTACAAGTTGCTGCCCTGGAGAACGTGTATACTTGGCTCAGTCTGAACACGGACTCGGCTTTCTTCATGAGCACAGCAGCCCACGATGGTAGCACATACCTGGAAGAAACGCTTCTCACGAGCGCGTTTCAGAAACTGCAACACAGTCCTTGAGTATCCAAAGGTCAAGATGACCTCATTTGCATGGATATGCTCCACTGCCTGCGTTGCGACAGAATATAAAGTAACAACTTGGGGGAGGGTGACTCCCAACCTAAGACTGTCAAGTACCAGATTGCCAAGCCACCGACCCATGAATGTCCAGGCTAGATCAAGGAAGCATCTGGCCTCATCCCACGCCGTCACCTGGTTGGCAATGGATGAGTCAATGTCTTTGAGTTCCTCTATCAGATCATTGACACCATCTATAACCTCCTGTTTCCGTGCCCAGAAGGTGACTGGCTGGCTCTTCTTTTTGGGCGAGTCCTGGTGACGGGAGGCATCAAGTTTTGTGGCAGGCCCATGTCCACCTGAGAGTCTGAGCTGACGCAATGGCTCCTCCACTGCATCATGGTCGAGCAGGGTGTGCAGAGAGAGCGTGCGATTGCCGACGCCAAGTGGAGACCTGTGTGGCGAGGGATGTAGTTGCCATGAAGATTCTGTTCCCCTGGTTCCCGACCTGTCCAGCCTGCAGACCAATTCTTCATCCCCACCAGGGTTTGTTATGGCAAGCGGACGTCGCCCACCTGAAGGCCCGGGAGAGGCCTCCCATGGCTGGGGCGCTCTCTTTCTGGGCATGGTCCACTTCGAGGTCCTCGTCTTGCCCCTCCTCATCAGCCTCTACTTCCTCGCGAATGATGTGCAGGACACGCCGCGCAATGTTCCCGATGACCAGCTCTGCGGATGGGGTGATTCGTGCAATGTGAGGGTTGGTGTGCGAGGCTGCTGGGACCTCCTCCGAGGCAGACACTTGTCCGTCTCGATGAACCGAGCCGTACCTGTTGGCTGCGCGGCCTGCAGGGTCAGGCCCACACGTTTGACCTCGTCTAGAAGGCTTTGGGGATCCGAGAGCCTGGAGGAGGTGACCAGCTGCCTCAGCAACTCAGCCGTTCCCTTGGCGGCATCCAGACTGGTTTCGACCTTCCTTTGCCGCAGTCGTGTGGCGAAGTCCTGCACCCTGTCATAGTATCCTTGCGTGGCCATGCGCTATATAGACGAGTACAAGCCTATTCTCTCGGGTCTGAGAGATGGGCTGTGGATGCCAGGCCAGCCCCCTACCGAGAAGATGCCAGCACTCCTACGCTACCTTGTCTGCAAAGTAATCCTGATGCGATCACACACTGTAAGCAATGATAAGACAAGAATATTACGTTTTTATGTGTTGAGAACCTGTCGGCAAGAATCTCTGAAATCCCTCGGTGCCACGCTGGCCTTCGGACCAAGCCCATGCTGTAGCTGAGAATGCGAGCCGAAGAGTGGTACGACTCACCAATCTGTACACAAGTGCAAACATCGCAATAAAGCAATCAAGTTGATACAGAAGAACGTCATTCGTTCCTGCCTTGAGACTCCACCCTTGGCTCTGGTGTTACCGATGCGAAGCTGCGCGCGTGTGGTCGTAGCGCGATGTGTCGGTGCTGCAAGCCAGCCAATCAAGTCGATGTGCACAGACATCCATACTCTTACGGGGCAGCCAGCTCATAAGGCCGCCCAGCGTTCGGTCCAACGACGCGACATGCGAAGGGATGACTTGAGGGACACCGGGTATTTGCAACGCCACTTCTCCAGCTCTGCAATGCTCAACGAGGACAGTGGCAGCGATGGAGGGCTGCAGCTGACGGACAACGCTGTTCAACGCCTGCAGGAACTGCAGCGTGAATCTCCAGAGGGGCCTCTGTTCCTCCGACTCACTGTGGAGGGGGGGGGATGCTCTGGCTTCCAGTATGAGTTCAGCTTGGGGTCCTCCTTGAAACCAGAGGACAGGTGAGAAGGTTGTGCATGGTTGGAGAGGAGGTCCTACTGCATGCTCGCCCTGTGTGCCACCTGCAGCTGCGCCTCACAATTGCTGCCGTGTTCCTATCGCAGAATTTTTGAGCGCAATGGAGTCCAGGTTGTTAGCGACGACATCTCCCTCGATTTCCTGAAGGGCGCCGTGGTAGACTTTGAGACAGACCTCATGCGATCAGGGTTTGTGGTGGCTGGCAACCCCAATGCTGCGTCCAGCTGCGGCTGTGGATCGTCTTTTGTTGCCAAGTGACTGCATAGAGCACCAGGACTCCTGCAATCGTGCTGGCTCACCAGCTGCATGATGATCCCCACTGCCTACGTGTTGAATGATTTTTGTGTCAATCTACGCACCTGTACATAGTCTTACACTCGACTCACGATAAGCAGCACAAGCTGGCGGCACATGGGGGCAATATATTCCTTCAGTTCCTCGTGGTGTGCCGCCTTCTGCCCCAGGCATCACACTCAGGATCCTCAGAACCATGCAATGAGGCAGACGCTTCTTTGCTGTGCGTCGTTATATCTTCTACCATCAGCGCCGGAACGTTTGCCGCAAGTGGTATGGAGTCCTGCGATCTTGGATCATGACTCCTTCTTTCCAGCCGCCTCACTATTTGCTGGAGAACTGTGGCCTGTCTGGTAGCCACGCCTGTGTAAGAAGGAAGGGGCGACTAAAAATCAATACTATTTCTCTTTTGATATCCAACCCTTGAAGCAAGATTTCAGTATCCATACCCCCCCACCAACAAACCCCACCCGTGCATACTTTGCATGGCTAGCATTAGGCTGGTGATGTCCTTTGTGGCACCCTCTAAGGCATCGCATCTACTCTTCAGCTGGCCCAAGCTCAAGACATTCCCTGCCAGGTCGCTTTCTAGCTGTTGGAGAAAATAAGGGAGGGAAGCAGGTGAGGTGGCATCCTGAGATATTCCAGAAAGGCAGCTGCACCTGGCGGATGCGGTCGAAGTACCACACACCGTCTTGACACGGCGTGTGAGGTCCTTGCTTTGCAGCATGGAACGTACTGCAAGCTTCTGCTGGTCATTTGACTGAGCATTCAGGATCTTCACAGATGGCTCTGGAGACTTCACGGCGGGCCTGTGGGATTGACATTCTGGGTTGGCGGGCTCGGGCGGAACATGCTCGACACGCCACTGCATGCATGTCGTGCAACTGGGTAAAAGCACCTGCCTGTCAATGTTCGCCCAAGCACGCAGCCTCTGTAGTGCCAAGATGAGGAGCACAGAGGAGGATAGCCATGCGGATGGTATACATATTCGATTTGCTGGGGCCAGACTCCAAGGTTCAGCAGGGAGGGTTTTGTGGAACTCCTGACCGGTTATTCTGCGCCCCAGGCGCGCCTGACGCTCAGCGTGGAAAGATAAGGCGTGGAGGGAGAGAGCTAGTGCGTAAGAAATGTCCTCTGCAATCTGCAGCCTGGAGGAGTGGGCTGCCGGGATTGCAGCTCTCACACGTTTTGCGCCCTGCCAGTGGTGCGTCGAACCACAGCGGCCCCACACGCGTGGCAGTCGGATGCCCACGCATGCACTCGACATTCTAGCTTTAAGACGGCACTACCATGGAGATCGCAGATGCTCGCGGGTCAAGCAGCCTGCACAGTGCTGTGTGTCGTGTTGTCCTTTATTTGCGCGCGCTGTGTGTCATGAATTGAATTTCTAGTGCACCCCCTCCTTCCTCGACTCCCCGGTAGCTAAAATCCTGCGCGATACGTGAGCATTTGACATACTTCCAGGGCTCGATGTATGCCTTGCACGACTGACCAGATTCCTGGATCCCCAGGAGCAGGGTACGACAGGGGCCACAGCCGGAGTATTGGCCTAGGGTGCAGGCATATCTTACTCCGAACCACGTCGCCGCGAGACTTTACTGATTACCCCGTACAACCAAGCAATCTGCTCGTGATCTCTTCAGCCACATCACTGCTCGCCTGTTCATCCGACACCCTCGTATCTCCGGCGCCATGGACGACACGCGCAAGGAGTATAGCCTTCAGGCCCTTCAGGACGTCCATATTCAGCGCGTGAGTCTGCTTGAGTTGCCGGGGAGTTGATATAAGAGCAATTGTTCTCTGGATCAGCTGCCCCTGGCCATCCTCGTGCAGGCCGTCTTCCGCAAGAGAAAGGCAGCCTTGCTTCGCAGAGTCGTGGAGCTTTCGATTCTCTGCGAGTGCGAGGTGGCGTTGCTACTTTTCACCAAGGATGATGAGCTGGTGCAATACTCCTCCTGTGGCATGGAGCACATGCTGAGGAAGTTCGGAAAGGCCTGCACTACCCCGCATGAGGTCCTCACCACTGAAAATGTGAGCATCAGCTTCTGGGTGGGTGACGGATACCGGCGCACCTCCTCACCATGACAGCCTGCAAATGAATCACAGATGCTGCTCATCGCTCATTGCAGGTCCAGGCTCGTCACATGAACCATTTAAGGGCAAGGAAGCGGAGACGTGCATCTGTCAGTTCCCCCCGTGCCAACCTCTCAGTGGCATCTCCCCGTACGCGGCCGAGGTGAGGTTTAAATATGCCTTTTGGAGACAAGAGGGGTAACACCAATGAGAGCACTGTGCCGGGCCGTGGCGAAATTCCCACTTGGGGCTCAGTGTTAATGGAGTTCACGTTTACCACCAGTTCCACTCACTTCAACCCATGTTGCTGCCAGGATTACAATTGGGGCGCCCGCCACAGCATGTCACGGGAACATTAATGAGTCCCCTCGTACCTTTAAGGCTTATGGCCAGATCTACCGAGAGTTTGACATCTTGATTCAGGTGGGTTGGGTGCAGACTCCCCTGGGCATGTGCTTGTAGTGTTGTGTCATCCGGGTGAGAATTCATGCACTCTCTGGTGGAGCCTGGTCTGACTTGTTGAGCACTCTGTCAATCATGCAGGGACATCCACCCTCCACCCAGCCGCTACCATTGTTGGCAGCCGCTGCCACATCTCGTGATGTGGCTGCTGGGTCAGGGAGCGATCCTGTGCCGGAATCTGCAGTGGACAGCCTTGCCCACAACGATGAGGTGCCCACCAGCAAGGACAATTCAAGAATCAGTCCAACACCCTCTTCTTATCAAGACCAGTCCGTCCTCAACGCTCCAGGCGTGCAGCTTGAGGAGCGCAGTGCCAGTGCAACGCGCGGCTTGGATGGTATCAAGCCCAATGAACAACCGGAACAGGAGCCGCACAGCATCAGGGATGCCGAGGCCAAGGCCAGCTCCGCTGCAGGGCAGTGTGTGTATCCTGTCGAGGCATGCGGCTCTGTGGAGACCTTGCAACATGGCGCTGCCCAAGATCCGGCGGTCCCCTCTTGCAAGCGCCGCGACTGGCCTACATCTATTGAACAAGGGCGCCCCCTTCGGGATGTGGCCCCGTCCCTGAGCACGCCGACCATCGGTCCAGGCCTGTCTGCCCAGCTGGGCTCTTCTGAAGGGTCGCTAGACGCTTGAGCCACTGGTGAGGGGCTGATGAGGAGGTTGACAAGTGTCCACCCTGGCTTGGGTGCAGGCTGTGTTTACCGATAGCTACGTCTTTGCGGTGCTTGAGACGTCAGTAATTTGATTCCCCTTTTTTAATGACATACAGCTCATATTATGTTCCCGCCTTCTTAATCTCCAAACAGGCAACCGTGATCGCTCTGACGCGTCTGCTCAACGAGCAGCGTTTGACGAGGCCAATTCTGGACGTTATGTCTCCATCCTGCCCGTGATCCTCCCGGCGATAGAATGCGACCTGTGATCTGCATTGCCATATTCGCGTCCCTAGTTCGTGAGGTTTGCGCCCTTCCCAGCTTCAGAATCTCAACGTGATGACTCATTCCTTTACTCAGCTCGTAGTCCCCTCGGGCCATAGTTCGTGATCATCTGAGGCCTGCCTACTGCCCTGAAGCAGCAGCTGTGATTCTATCAAATGTGACTTCAAACACCTTGGAAACAGGAGTAGTAAGAGGCCCAGGGGCCAGTCACCAGAGCGGGTGTGGGTGGCCATACCATCTCCAGATACCAAGACAGGATTGCATTATGCAAGGGAGGGCCTCACGTCTGCTCCTCCTCGTCCTCCTCATCCTTCTCTTCTTCGGCATAAATCTTGTCGGGTTGAGTAGATTTGTAGGCAGCAGTGAATAAGGAGTATTCGTCGGCCTTGTCTGTGGAGGGGGAGAAAGGTTTCAGGTCGCCATGGCATGCTCGCATGCCCCACTGGTGCATCGACCAGCAGGTTTTCGCCCTGAATGCACTCACAGCTCCGCCCCACCCACTAGCAAGCGATACATCGACCACACACAGGACGCCCGCACTGGCTAGCCTTTCTACTTACCTGCATGTCGTAGAATCGAGGCACGCACATCCTCATCCAGTGGGTTCTTGAGCAGGCCATGGGTCTTGAGCACGTACTGCGTGAGAAGCGTGCCTCCTGTGGACCCCAGCTTCCCCCCAGCCCCCATTCCAGGTGCAGCAGAGCCCAGGTCCGGCTTGTGCTTCTGCTTGTTCTCCGCGGCATCTGACTCGGCCGTCTTACGTTTCCGCTGCCCTGGCATGGGCTCCCGGTACATGGGCAGGGCATTGGGGTTGTAGATTGGCAGCGCGCTCGCCACCTTGGAAAGGATGGGGAGGGAGATTGGCTCAGCTGCTTCTGTTGCAGGCTCGGTGCCTGGATCGGTGCATGACGACACTGGCTGCCAGTGTGACCAGGATATACCAAACGACGACAAGCTTCAATCCTCTTTCCAAGCCACCAATAAGGACACCTACTCTCACCAGCATGTCAAAGGGATTGGCCGGACGAGGCTTGCGTCCAACCGCAAGCATGGCTCCTCGCTGGGACAGGAGCGGGGAGTAGAGGATGCGGGCCTGGCCAGCCTTGCGGTCACCGCTGCCCACCAGTATTTGATTGATCCGAGGATGCCACTGCAGGCACGATGGAATTGTGTGAAGCGCTGATTGGTATCATCATGAGTTTCGCTGCAGGACCAATCCATCCCCATCCAGGCAGGGGGTCGAGCAAGGACTGCAAGCAAGACACCGAGCCCAGCAGAGCAAGGACTGGTCACCACCAGCCTACCTGGAGGGCTATCACACTCCCAGGCATGCCCAGGCGCCGGACCATCTTCAGCTCGCGACGATCAAACATGATGACAGACCCACCGGCATCTGCCTTCCTGGCCGACGTGCCAGTCAGAATGAGTCTCTCGTCCGGGCTGAAACAAGCCTGGATTTGAGAACAGAAGAAGGGAAGCATGGAGTATTGAAGTGGGGCACACTCACGTCACCACAACACTTCCTCGTACTCGTGAGCTCGCAACAAAGCCGGCCCTGGTTGCAATGACCATGCATCCCTCCCAGTCCCATATCCCCACCAGAGCTTCTCCATCCACACCTGGGTGTTTGCAAATGTGGTATCCAGGTCCTCAAACACAGCAAGAGGCTGCTTCAGGCTGCGGGTGTCCCATGCTTTCAGCGTGTCGTCCCCGCCCCGAGAGATAAGCTGATGTCCATCTCTTGAAAGAGCCAAGCAAGTGATCTCGCTGCCTGCAGTGTGGTACCAATCCTGCTTATGTGCCACAGACTGAAGTCAAGGTCGCCATGATCAGCAGAGCCCTGTGAGAGACACCACAATCCATGCAACCCTCGGCCATGCCACCACAGCTTGTCAACCTGAACCCCACACAGGACGCAACCTAGCATCGTACCCGCAACATGGGCGCTTCGGATGATCTTGTGGGCAGAAGAGACGTAGTTCCAGTCCTGACGTGCAACCATCTGCTGCGACGGCACAGCAACCTGCTCAATCGCAGCTGACCGTCCAAACTTGCCTGGGCACAAAGGTTCATGGAGGGAGAGAGAGTCATTCCCACAGGACCCCAATCGCCCAAGGGACACAGAATGTTGTGGCAAATCGCAACTTTTCCCACCAGGAGTTGCCGTCCACCTCACTACCCACCTCTGACATCCCAGAGCTGGATGGTGCCATCCATGAGGCCGGCAGCCACCACATGGCCCGTGCTTCCATAACAGGCTGCCGTGACCTGCACCCGGCCTGGTTTGGCCAGCTGGGGCTTGATCACCGTCTTCTGGACAAGCTGGTCCATGTCCCAGACTCGGACGGTGCCGTCGCTGGAGCATGTCATGGCCGTGAGCCTGTTATTATTGGAAGGAGCACGGATTCGTAAGCCTGCATCAGCGTTCCGTGGAAGGTGTGCGAGGATGGCAAGGGGCAGCTAAGCGGCCAGCCAGCAGGAGCTGCGATGAGCACACATGAGGGGTAGCCTGCAGAGCAACCAGACCTTGATGCAGGGTCACTGTCGTCCACATTCCTAGTAATATCTTGAGGACAAAAGCAATTGCACAGGCCCCCACTGCACGCCACCGCTACCAAGTACTCACTTGTCTACAGGATGCCACTGTCCGCCCGTGCAGCCAGCCACATGCCCCTTGGTATTCTTCTGATCCCGAATGTACATGTCGCCACGTACAAACTGTCCCTGCTCCTTCCCTTCCCGGTTGTAGACCTTGGGCTGGGGCGACCCAGTGACCGCCAGAAATGCATCCCCACTCGGCGACCAGCTCAACTGTAACGGGCGAGAAAGGGATCCTCTTGCAGCATGGAGAGCAAGCAAGACAATTGCAACTGAAGGAGACTTTTGAAACGAGCATCACGTGGACACCACCACTGCACATGGTGTCACACATGCAAGAAGCTCAATCCTGATTGATCCATTCACTTGTGCGATTAATTGCCTGTGGGTGTGAAGCAGTGCAGCTGCCCCTGCAACAGACGACCCGCTGCACTCACCGATACAATGGGGTGGCCCTCGTCCACCTCAAATGATCGAAAGGGCTTGGCGTCTGACTTCATGCCGCCAAAGTCAAATATCTTTACCATGTAATCATGGCCCCCGGTCAGCAGCCTGGCTCCAGCGTCATCAAGGGCGATGGCTGTGACAGCCTTCGTGTGGCCTGAAAGTGCGCAGTGGTCAGAGCAATGAGAAGATGCAAACGAGCCTGAGGACAAGATATGCTCTCCACTGCCTCTTCAAACGAGTCTGGATGGGAAGGAGAGGCCTGCAAACGGGGTGTTGAAACCAACATCACACTCCCCCCCAAGCAGGCGGGACCCCACCTTCAAGAACAAGCTCGTGTGAAAGCGGTAGTTCCTCCTTTTCCTCTTCTTCCTCCTCCTCCTCCTCCTCCTCCTCCTCCTCCTCCTCCCCGGCCTTCTCGCCCAGCGAGCGGGATGGGCCTGCCTCCTGGACCTCTGCGCCACGATTCTGCATCAGATCGTCCTCTCTGTCAGCATCAGCCTTCAAGACCTCAGCAATCGAGGCTTTCGCAGCCGCCAGTCCCTCGGCATCAGCCGCACCTGCAGTATGCGGGGCGGCTAGGATCTGAGAGCGGTGCATGCCCTGAGGCGAAAACCCTGCATAGACCCGTCACATGGCAAACCAGGCGCCCTCGCTCACACACCAAAAGACGTGGGAAGATGTGCCCGCAGCAGGGCCTCCTCGTCGACATCCACAACTTGTGGACCAACGTCATCTTCCTCTTGGTCGGCGTCGTCTTTGGGCTGTGCGTGCCTCCGCAAGCTGGTCTGCAGGTGTGGGTGCCACGATGAGAGGCACGCGATTCGATCAAGGTATGACCCGATGCATGGCTTGAACGTGGCTGTCCAAGCGCTCCCACATACCAGCGTTGCTCCAGCTGCTCCCAGTCTGCTGGCACGCTGCCTCCTCATCGCAGCGAGCTCATCATCGTCGTCACTGCTCATCGAAGTGTGCTATCACGGGCAATTAACCCTTTACTCCAAAAAAAAATAGAAATGGGGTGCCATTTCGCACAGCAGTTCTGAGTTCCTGATGTACACAGCTTTTGTGTTGTTGAGACTTTTTCATGACGGAATCGCGCGCGAATTCTTCGCGAGCTCTTCCCCTGTCTGGGGCATGAAGTCGATGTCCCCACATGACCGAATGAGAAGATTCGAGTCAAAACCTGTATCGTCGGTACATCATCACAGAAATCATCACTGCTACCCCCACCCCTGCCACAATGCTGCGAAGCCTGTTGCTGACCCGCAAGGCCGCGGGCGGACTGGCAGCCTGCAGGCCCGGGGTGCCTCTCCTCTCCATCCGTGGCTTCGCCAGCAGCGAGGAGCAGGTTGGTAAAGTCAAATTAGGTTTGGTTTAGCTACCTCTGAACATCATCTAGCGACCATCGGGTCTGATGGGTTCCCTCTTCCCAACCCTCACTCGGCAGGACGTGGTCGTCATTGGCGGAGGACCGGGAGGCTATGTCGCGGCCATCAAGGCTGCCCAGATGGGGCTGAAGACTACCTGCGTGGAGGGGCGGGGTACCCTAGGAGGCACATGCCTCAACGTTGGCTGCATCCCCTCCAAGGCAAGGGGCTGGGTCGCTGGCGATCACGAGCATGCAGCACCTTCCAGCGTCGTTTGTGCCCTGTCCAGTGCATGCCTGGGACTCAGAGCCCACTCTTTCTTACTCCACAGGCCTTGCTGCATTCGTCACACATGTTCCACGAGGCCCAGCACACCTTTGCCCACCATGGCATCAAGGTGTCTGGCCTTGAGGTTGACGTCGCCCAGATGATGGCTCAGAAGGTGGGTGGGCTGTGCTGTTCACCCAGGCAGGGCTGGGTCGGGGGGGTCGAGCCTGGGCCCGTGCAGGGGAGCTTCATGAAGAGACACAGCCTGGAGCTCTCCCATTGCTCCACGGCTTGTCACCCGAGTGGCCCGGGGGGCAGCGAGCAAAGCAGTGTGGCCGACCCTGCGCTCATTTGCCCCCGGTGCACCCCCCGTCTGCAGACAAAGGCTGTCACTGGGCTGACCAAGGGCATTGAGGGTCTGTTCAAAAAGAACAAGGTGACGTATGTGAAGGGCTGGGGCAGCCTGAAGTCTGGGAACGAGGTGGAGGTGGCGGGGGCTGACGGCGAGACCTCCACCATCAAGGCCAAGAACATCCTGATTGCCACGGGGTCGGAGGTCACCCCCTTGCGTGGCGTCGAGATCGACGAGGAGAAGGTGGTGTCGTCCACTGGCATCCTAGAGCTGAAGGAGGTGCCCAAGAAACTCGTGGTCGTCGGGGGCGGCATCATCGGCCTGGAGATGGGCTCGGTCTGGGCCAGGCTGGGCGCGGAGGTGACTGTGGTGGAGTTCCTCGACAACATCCTGCCATCCATTGTACGTCTGGGGTGTTGGGTTCCTAGAGTCTGCCTTGGGGGGCTGCCAGGGAAGAGGGAGGGAACTGTGCATGCTGAGCAGGGGTTTCCTCTGCGTGGCCACCAGCATATCGTCCCCCGTCTTGTTTTAAATGGGCTCCTGACAAAGAATGTCTTGCCACTCCCTCACACGGTCCCATCGCCTGCTCAATGCCTGCTGATTGTGAAATAAGCGCAGGGCACTGGTCCGCTTACCTGCGCCCCACTGCGCACGTTTACATTCGATGACACCGACCACTGACCCCTATCTTAGGATGGCGAGGTGCGCAAGCTGTTCGAGCGAACCCTGAAGAAGGCCGGGTTCAAGATCAAGCTGTCCACCAAGGTGGTGTCCGCTGACACCTCTGGCGAGGGCGTGAAGCTGACCGTGGAGCCTGCCAAGGGCGGGGACCAGGAGACCCTGGAGGCCGACATCGTGCTGGTGGCCACTGGCCGCCGGCCCTTCACAAAGGGGCTGGGGCTGGAGAACGTGGGGGTGGAAGTCGACGAGCGCGGCCGCATCAAGGTCCGTAGGCAGCGCCGATGCTGGGGGGAGGGGGGGTTGTGCGTGTGTGCCTAGGAGGGTTGGTGCCTCAAGCTAGCCCTGCTGGGTGCAGGGCGCAGCCCAGCTTGCACCTGCACCAGTCCCGACACGCCGCGGGCGCCCTGCCCCCCGCTGTGCAGGTGGATGACCACTTCCGGTCCAACGTGAGCTCTGTGCTGGCCATCGGGGACGTCATCCCCGGGCCCATGCTGGCACACAAGGCCGAGGAGGATGGCGTGGCCGCCGCCGAGATCCTGGCGGGCAAGAATGGGCATGTCAACTACGCCAACGTGCCCTCCGTCATGTACACGTGGCCAGAGGTTGCATCGGTGGGCATCACCGAGGAGCAGGCAAAGGCCGATGGCCTCGACTACAAGGTGAGCCTAGGAGTTGACAGTTGCAGGAGGAAGCGATCCTCATGCTGGGGGCATGGGGGCACGCACGCGGAAACTGGGCACCCAGCTACCAACACTGAGCCTGACGAAATCGACCTGGCGCACCCCAGATCAGGCTACCGACGCCCCCATGCCCTCTATCCTCCCACACACTCAGGTGGGCAAGTTCCCCTTCATGGCCAATAGCCGTGCCAAGACCATCGAGGACACCGATGGCATGGTGAAGTTCATCTCTGATGCCAAGACAGACAAGGTGTGCAGGTCTCTTGGATTTCTTAATCATTATTTAGGGACACGGTCTCTGGAAGGGATTGAGCACTCTCAGGTGCCTGCTTGCACCTCCATGAAGGCTCTGGGTCCTCAGTGTGCATCTCTCCCACGTGATGTGCTCTGCATCAGCTGCTGCACATTCTTACATGTTTGTTCAGCAAGTCTGACCTGCCCTGATCTGCACCCTGATCCCCACATCGTGTTTCCCACCAGATCCTGGGAGCGCATATCATGGGCCCCAATGCTGGGGAGCTGATCCAGGAGTGCGTGCTGGCTCTGGAGTATGGCGCGTCCACCGAGGACATCGGGCGCACCTGCCACGCCCACCCCACAATGTCTGAGGCGATCAAGGAGGCAGCCATGGCTACCTACGGCAAGCCCATCCATATGTGAAGTCTGTACGAGCCAAATCGCTGTGCTGGCCCAACCGTGTAAGCATCCCTTGCAGCAGTGAAGATTTGAGGGAAGGTTTGGCCAACACCGCGCCTACACCGCGCTCAGGCAAACAACTGGGACACTATGCCCCTGGGGGAGCTCGCAACCGCTGCGATCATGTTAAGTAGTAAATTGGAAAATCTCAGAACATGCATGATGGCGTCGCTTCTCAATTGCATGCCTCGAGCTCTTTGTGAGGAAGTGATCTCGAGACCTCTGCGAGGTGTATGGAAATTTCGCACCAGGAGTGATCCCTTTACGGGAATTTATGTGAATACTTGAAAGCATTATTTGTAACAGCTAGAGTGTCAATGTTCGTCACCCCGATACTGCCACTCTTTTCAAGGCCTGCTTGTCGATAAGCACAAGATGGGCGGCCCTTCGATAGCTCCTCGCAATTTGACACCGAACTTCATTGGAAATTGACGAGGCGTGATGGAAGCCGAGCCCCTGCCCGCGGTGGATCCGCAACCTGCCTGCCTTCCCTTTGTGGGCACCGTGGAGGAGCTGTCAAACAGCATACGGAGTTTTCAGAGCAAGGTGACGACCATTCCCCCTCCCCGATCTCAGTACGACAGGTAAACAGCAGACCGGCGGCTCTCTCTGAGCCTTACAGGTGTATGCCTGGACTCAGTGTTGGCACTGATTGCTGGCTCTCAAGTCCTGCATGCAGTGGTGTGCTGAGGCATGCCAACCCCAGGGAGCCTCACCCACCCTTTCCCACCCATTGCAGCTGTCCTGGCATCTTCTCGCACGGCTGCGGGAGCATGCTGGTCTGGGAGGCTCGGCCAGATATCCAGGCTTACTGCTACGCGTGCAGCAAGCCTGGTTGTTCCTTCAAGGAGTGGGTTGTCCCACCACGAGTCCTCCCAGAGATTGAGATCACTGTCATCGACAGGCATCAAATCCAGGTGGACATGCAGGGGAGAGGCTTATGGAGCGCCTCAGTCTTTTCTTTGCCATGTTGATGTCACCTGGGTCTGACGCTAACAGTGGGCAATACCGTCTTACAAAGGTCTCGTGTGGAGAAGGAGCTTCCGCTGCTGTTACTCATTGTGGTGGAGTCGCCGCAATACTGAAAGCCCATGGCGTGGCACTTGAAGGAGAGCACTCTGGTGGTGCGAGCCTCACGAGCGGGCCAGTCATCTTCCCAATGTCAGCATACCAAAGCCTTGTGCATGCAATCAGGGGGGGACCCCTTGCAAAGGAAGGCAAGGTCTTGCTTCCCACACCCAATCTCATACCTTTACCGACCCTGGCAGCTTTCAGGTGCATGGAGTGGGAGGAGGCCAACCGCAGTATGTAATGTTGCAGAGGTCTTGGAAGAGAAGGAGCACATGCTAGTGCTAAACTGTACTTGTAGTAGAGCCTATGCCACCTAACCCACCTACTCCCAGGTCGGATCCTGGGATGTCAGCGGAGGAGGCCACTTCCGTCATGGAGGCTCGCCTCCCACCTGGCCTCTTGTCCGCGCTCCTTCCCTTCCAGAGGGAAGGGGTGCGGCGGGGCCTGCAGCACCAGGGACGGATTCTGATCGCTGATGAGATGGGTGTGGGTAAAACTGTGCAAGCCATTGCTCTGGCCGAATGTTATAAGGTAGGGCAAGGGGCAAGGGAAGGCGCCTATAGGTGAATGAGGCCACATGACGACCAGCTCTATGTTTGAACCACCATGCTGCAATTGAATGGCGTCATGGATTCCCAAGCTCTTTGCTGTATCCCCTATAGGACGAATGGCCTCTCCTGGTGGTGACTCCTGCCTCGCTACGACTGACCTGGGCCGAAGAATTCGAGCGCTGGCTTCCGAATCTTCGACCTGGTTGGATCCACCTCATTGAGGGCCGGACAGATCGACTGGACCACAAGCTGCCGCCCATCACGGTGAGCTGGTAGTGGCGGCTCACCCTCCTCGAGTGCCATGCCTCACCGGCCTGGTCCCCTCGGTAACATGCTCTCAAATTGCGCCCTTGATCTCACAGTCCTGCCCTTGTCACCCACATCTCACCAAGCACCCTCACCGCTGCAAGCTGTCCCCAACTTCTGTGTTGCAGATCACCTCATATGAGATGCTGCAACGCCTTTGCTGCGACGCCTGCAAGGGCCGTGGCGGTCAGCTTGCGCTTAAAACTTGCAAGGCCAATCGGTCATCCGGTTACACATCTCGGTGCGCAGTCCCTGGATGCATGGCCGGCCTCGGCTTCAAGATCATCATCGCAGATGGTGCGTAGGGAGGAAAATCTTTGCCTGGAACAGCTCACTGCTTAGGAAAGCATTTTTGGACCGCCAACCTCGTATTTGCAGCCCCTCTCTGCGTCCGCACCCACCGTCACACCCACCCCTCACCTGAGCAGAGTCTCACACTCTCCGGACAGCCGGCCAAGAGCCTGATGCATACCACACAGAGGCCACCGTGTCTGTCGCGAAGCGTGCCCAGCGTGCCATCTTTCTGACAGGAACCCCATCCCTGTCTAAGCCGTATGACCTCTTTCGACAGGTGTGCGGGGATGGTGTGAAGAGCGGTGAGATCCGCGTGCTCTCTGCCATATGCACTTCCCAGGGGAAAGTCAGCAGCAATCGGCCCCTTCTACCGCGTGCTCTGAAGCAAGTACTCGTAATGCACTGCACTCCTGCCCACCATCACATTTCAACCTGTTGAGTCTCCCCTGCATGTGCACTCAGGTGGATGCTCTCCGCCCGGGGATGCTCGGGGACACAAGGCAGCAGTACGCTGGCCTCTACTGCGCCAGGCACATCGTGCGTAGCAGGATTCGCGGTGGCGAGGAAACCACGCATGTGGACAACTCGGGCTTGCGGCGCGCGGAGGAGCTGCACCGCCTGCTGCGCTACGCCGTCATGCTACGGAGGCTGAAGCGGGAGGTGCTAGCCCAGCTCCCTCCCAAGCGACGGCAGGTGGTGAGACTGCCGCGCATCAGAGCCAAGCCGGGCCGGGCGGGGGAAGGAGCAGGGGACGACGAGGGCTGCCAAGCAAGATCTGCCGCGCAGGCAACGGGTGCGGGGTGTGGCACGGTGTCTGTGTGCCAGACAAGGTGGCTCCAAGGTCTGTGGGTCTGAGGCCATACAAACCCAGGCCGCCGCTTGCTCGCCACTGCAGCTCCCGACATCACGTACCCATGCAGGAATCGCAAAGCTTCCTAGCGTGATTGAGTGGCTCCGTAACCTCCTGGGCCAGGAACAGGCGAGCCGAGGGGGGCCAGTGTGCCTTGCAGCAGCTATGGTGGGCTGGAGGAGGGTGAGACTTTCGAGCCTGCAAGGCGTTTGCAATCATGGACACGGTGTCCTGGGCCAGCGCTCTCACACTTGCCACCCATGAACCAGCAGGTGGGCACCACTGACCGCAACCGTGACGCGCATGGCCTTGCGTCAGTGACCAGCGAGCGTGGTGGTGGGCCCAAGATCCTGGTGTTCGTGCACCATAAAGCCGTCATGGCGGGCCTTGCGGACGCGATGGAGGGGGCCGGCGGCGCCGAAAGTGTACCTTACATTCGCATCGATGGCGACACTGATGCTGAAGACAGGTGGGCTGCTCAAGCTGGGTGAAGCTGGTGTGGAGGTAGACTGCTGTAGGAATTCTTGGGTAAACTCCCAAGGCACCGGCCCTGCCGGTCAGGCATGCCCCCACCTCGGTTGGCTGACATCTCCTAGCATGGCGCAGTGCCCTGATACATGCGATGTCACGCATCTTTTAATCGTCCACAGGCGTCAAGCCGCAGCGCAATTTCAGCGGAACCCACGCATTCGAGTCGCCCTGCTGTCGCTGCTTGCGGCAGGGGTGGGCTTGGACTTCAGTGCTGCCAGTGCAGTGGCGTTTGCAGGTATGCTGGTGTTGCGTAGGCCGGGTGCTCTCTTCAAGGTCGGGGTGTGGCTTGGAACAGCACCTGACTCTGCCTCAGTGCTCCTCCTACCCTGCCAATTCCGCAGAGCTCCCAGACGAGGTGGGTATCCTCTGGCAGGCCGAGGCTCGAGCGCATCGCCAGGGCCTCTGCTGGCCCGTCAACATCTACTTCCTGTGAGGGGGGTGGGTGAGAATAGGGGGGAGAAAGCCTCATACAGGCACCATGACTGCCTAGACGGGCCTCGCATGCGTCGCTGCCATCGCACCACTCGACGTCGTTCCACATGCATGGCCACCCAGGTGTGCGCAGGGCTCCAGCGACGAGCAGCGGTGGCAGCGCCTGCACCGCAGCCTTGCACGGGTGAACGCAGTGCACGACGGCGTGGAGCAGATCACGCCCCCTCCTGGTGCCGGGACAGGGGTCCATGCATGGGATGGAGATCCACTGCAGCCCACCCCGGGCCCCTCCCATGCAAGCACTGACGAGGCCTGCGGGGTCCCACCACCAGGTGATGACAGGGTCGAGATGATGGGCTGAGGGGTATGCGGTGGTCTGCAGCACGTCGTTGTGCTCTTGATAACCCAGAATTATCACATGCCGTGGACTCGCACCCTCTCACCTGTCCTGATGCGTCACAGGTGGTGCATCTTGCGGTCATGCTGAGTTGAAACCTCTCCACCAGCTCAAGGAAGGGGAGCATGCCCAGGGGTGTACCCCTATTCTCAGCACACCGACTATCACCCCTCCCCCTGCTCCAAGTGACGTCCTCGCGTCACAGGCAGATGCAACTGCTGAGACTGACATCCAGGTGAGGCTGGGTGAAACCTGCCAGCCCCTGTGCGATCTGCCATGCTAGATGCCTTTGCCCCTTTCCCCCATACCGCTTTGCATTCTCCAGTTCCCAGCAACACCAACACCAAGGTCCATGCCACTTCCCCGAAATCACCATAGCCTCTCACTCCAAACAGATCATTCCCATGATTTGCAGTGCTTTTATGAGGTCAGCCTGAACACGCAGAGGGTGCACTTCCATGCAGCCCTGGATGGAACACGGCCCCTCCACCTGAGTCTACCCATGGAGCTCCTTTTGCCAGCAGGAGACGGTGGTCCCTCCCCTTCGGCACTCCTTTGGGAGCGTCTGAAGATCTACTGTGCACAAACGGGGTGGTGCGAGGAATGGCGTGATGTCGCAACACCGGTGCAGTCCAGCTCTGCCCAAACCGTGGTGCTGCCCGGCATCGGCCTTGTTGCGCTGCAGCCTTGGGTAACGCCGGGCATCCTCAAGGCCGCGCTGGCAGGAGCCCAGGCGTTTGTGGCAGAATGGAGGGAGCTGCGGGCGGTGCATGCAGCACGGCTGGCCGATGCCATCCTGGGACTGCCCCTGTCAGAGGTCAGTTGTGGGGCAGGATTTGGTATGCGGTGGAAGGGCTTCAGTCTTAACCCGCACAGAACCACATCTGGTGTGTCTGCACTGTGCTTGCTGACCTTGGTCAGGTGCTGAGCCCGTGAGCTCGAGCAGGAAGCAGTGCACGAGTTGAGGACTGCACTGTCTCTCAGTGAGAGCACAGAATGGTTGCTGCATTAGTCCCCGCATACCTCTGAGCCCTCTGCAGGCTGTGGCGGGACTCGAGGCCAGTTTCCTGACGACGGGCATGTACGGGCTGGGGACGTCGAGATACCTGGATGCGCAGAAGAGTGAAGCTCCCCCAGCTGGCTCAGAGTGGAGGACCGTGACCGTCGTTCACAGACAGTGCGCGGAGAAGGCGGAAATGGATGCTCTATGCTTGTGTCCTGCCCCCAGACTTTCTGGGCTGGACTCCGAGCTACCAAGGCTTTGACGATATGCCCTCCTCGTGCAGGTGGAATGCGGAAGCCAAGTACAACCAAGCCTTCCTGGTCGCCACTGATGAACGACTCTGCTTGAATTGCAGCAGTGTCGTTGCTGATGCCAAGGCGGTTCCTGCCGCCGCGACCCTAGACAACAACTATCTGCTGTTCTGCAGGTAGGGCCATGGTTGAGAGGTGCCTTCAGCCCACGTTTGGTGGCAGGGCACATATCCATCTCCCATTGCCCCATGCTTTCGTGGCAGCCACGAACTGATCATTGCTTGTTTTGGTCCCTCGTTCTTGTGCCATCAACAGCTCGGCCATGCACCTCAATTGCAGTGGAGCATGTGAAGCTGCCTTTGCACTGAAGAGGAGCGGCGGGGCCATCAGGAGGGCTCTCTTCCGACTTGAGAGGGGAGTCTGCACCAATCCTCAGTGCAAGCTGGACTGCCATGCCTTGGTGACACGGCTGCAGATCATTGAGAAGGGGAGTGCGGGGTAAGTACAGGGCCATGGCATCCTTGAGTGGGACTGAGTTCTCTGAGCACAGTGCAGCTACTGACGTTTGTGGAGGGCATGCAGAGCGCCGTGGGGAGTGGGAATGCTTTGAGTTGAGCGCCTGACACGGTGCAGCAAAGCAGAAGCAATTGCTATTCACATCCAGCCTCCCCTCCGCATCATCAGGTGGGAGCAGCGTAGAAGGGAAGTGCTGCAGAGACTGGCTCCCAGTTTCCTTCATCACGGAAACAAGACGCTCTTGGATAGTCTCATTCGCTCAGCAGTGGAGGGGAATGCTTGGCATGCTGACCATGTCATCCCTGTATACCAGGTGAGGCAGCAAGGGGTTGCCATGTGATTGTCAGTGCCCGCCAGTGGAGAGGGATGCGATGGTCGAAGAGCAACATCATGAGCTTCATGTGCATCCTGCACCCTGCTACTCCTGGGTACCTCACAGGGTGGTGGAGGCTGCGGTATTGAGAACCTGAGGACCTTGTGCGTCGTCTGCCACAAGAAGGTGACAGCGGATCAGGCCAAAGCACGTGCAGCTGAAAGGAAACGACTTGCACAAGGCATAGGGTGAGTGAGAGGGCACCGGAGGGTTCAGGCAGCGTCGCGCAGGGTATGCATTTGTGCGGATGGAGTGGTGAGGGCCTAGGGCATTTGGCACAGGTATTGCGCTTATGCAAGCGCATCGCTCTCCAATGAGGGTTCTCTCTGGCAGCATCCCATGCTGGTATCCATTTGATACAAATCGTTGCAGGAAAACGGCGGCTGGGAAAGGCCCCGGGAAGAAGAGACCGAGGCAGCCATTGCGAGTAGCACCTTTATTTGAGCTGCTCAAGGACGGCGATAGTGACGATGACTTCCAATGTCCACAACACTGTGCTGGACCACCAGGGGGGCCGAAGCGTGCGGATGTGACCCTGTGAATGCTTGTTGCTGAAGTTCAGGCCATCGTGATGCAACTCTAAACAAGGACGTCAACTTCGTGCTGAGTATTCAGAGCGAGAAGTCGGCCTTGCATGGCTTAGGGCTTGACGTCTTGAGGCACAACCCATAGGGCAGCTAGGGGCTTACGAACGACGAGCAGTTTGCGGCACGCAATAGCAATGAGTTCGGCACACTGTACTCCCGCTTAAACACGGCGAATGCCTGCTTGTGATGGCAGAAGAACTGGATGCTATCAAGGTACAAAGTATTTGAGTCTTACTATCCGCCACCGGAAGCTAAATTTAGTATCGACACACGCCGGCGAAGCCGCGACGGCTTGTTGTGCTGTCAGCGGGTCACTGGCACTCTTGTTCGACATGTTATGACGGCTACTGATACGACCCGTGGAACTCGGACCGAGGCAGGAGTGGAGCTTGATGTGCTTAGACTCGAGTCTTCAGGGATTTGAGGTCAGAATCTTATGTTCCAGGCGGAATTGCGAAACCCTGATTCTCGACGAGAGCCGTCGGGCACCTGACACCATCAGCACCTGGCCCTGGCTCGAAGTGCATTTGAAAAAGCCAACGGAAAAGCTGCATAAGAGGCCGCAAACTTCATGAGATCAACACAAAAGCCTCTGTTCTCCTTCAGGAATACAACCTGCCTCCTCAGCCCTCGCAAATCGTGGCACATCGACCTCCAGTCCTGCTGTACACCCAGCCCAGCTCAGCTACCCTCAGCCTGTCCTCCGAAGTCGGACCCTTTGCACCGAGAGACATCCTCTAGCCAAAGCAAAGTACCTACAGAGCTCCCATGACCATGACCACTGGTGGACCTCAGGCTCAGCAGCTCCCCAAAAAATCTCAGTGGGAGATCGACCTGGACGACTGCAGTCCCTTCGCCAGACTGTCCCACCAGAAGACCTCCACGACCGCCACGGTGAGCCTCAATTCATCTATTGGCAGCATCGATTGCTTAAACGATTTGCCATGTCGTGTTCGTGCTCCATCCGAGCCATGTCCGTTGGCGAATTATGCCCTTCATCCCCCTTGTTATGAGCAGTCGGACGACGACGAGTGCGAGCCCATTGGCGACAAGGAGACCTACGATGACTTCGAGGAGCTCTTTCCTATGGCTCAGATGGAGATTCAGCTGCGTCTGTCACGCGAGCGCGAGGCAAAGGTGCGAGTTTACCTCAAGGTGGCGGTGCATCGGCATTGCGGCGGGCGCAGGCGATGGGATGCGATCTGGAGGTGATCACGTGCACAGTCCACCAGCTCCAACCCATGCGACCCTCGCCACTTACTCCGGCCTGCGATGAGTAAGTCCGATCGAGTCGATCCCCCCACCCCCTGTCCACCTCCCCTCCACCCCAGGAAGCCGCCGAGAAGCTGCAAATCCAGACCGCTGCCGAGGATGCCATGGCCAACCTCCTGGCCAGCAGCATCGGGGCCATGGCCCTGCAGAAAGCTGTCGCCGAGGACACGCTGGCAGCCGCTCGCGCAGAGACGGCTGCGCTCCAGGCCAGGCTGGAGGCGTCCGACGTGGCAGAGCTGGAGACCGCGCTGTCCAAGGCGGAGGCGGAGGTCCAGGAGGCGCAGCGTGGCTGGCAGACGGCCCGCAACGCCCTGGGACAGTCGGAGTACGTGCGCGCCCGGCTCACGGAGCGCCTGAAGCGGTGCAAGCAGACCATCGTCACTCTGAACGACCGGCTCTTCGAGGGCGGGCGGGAGCGCAGGGCAGCCCGGCTGAGGGTCGACATGGCCGAGGGGAAGCTGGAGGTGGCCCTCTCTGACGCCACACATGCGCGCGACGTGGCTGCCTCCCACAGGGCCCAGCGCAGCCAGGCCCAGATGGAGACGCGCTGGGCCCTGGAGGAGGCCGGCGAAGCGCGGCTGCAGGCGGAGGAGGCTCGTAAGGCGGCGGCCGCGGCGACTGCCGATGCAGCCCAGGCCAGGGCGCAGGCTGCCCAGGCAGAGCGTGTGCCCAGCGAGGCCACTGCCAAGGCTGACGGCCTAGCAAAGGACCTGGACCGCACCGAGACGGAGGTGGCCGCGGCCAGGAGGGAGCTGGACCATCGCATCCAGTCCTCCTTCAGCATCCCTGCCAAGAAGGCCATCTCCCTTGCTGTGAAGGTGGGTGGTGCGACTGCCATTGGGGCCTGCTGCAGCCAGGGGCCTGCTGCGGGGCCTGCTGGACCTGTGTGGTGCTCCCTGCGCCACTTGGCTATCCTATCCCAAGGAGGCATGCCTCATTGTACCCCATTCATTGGTGCCATTCTGCCTGTCTGCAGGCTTTCCAGACTCCCAAGACCCCCAAAGCCGCCTCTCCCTCAGCCGACGTCCAGATGGCTGGGGGGTCTAGGCGTCGCTCGTGGCGCAGCATCTTCTGTGCGCGCATGTCCACCACACTTGCCTGACCAAGTTTTGCCGTTGTACCACCCGACAGGGCCGACCCTGGGATGCCACCTTCTACTTCTGACTGCTCCTGGCCAGGACCCAGAGATACTCTGCCTCTACACGCAGCATGTCACCAGGACCATGCGATCCATATGGGTGCACATGACCGGCACATGCATACCTGACGACAAGACACACTTACCCCATTGCTCTTGTGTGCATTAAAAGTAGCCTGATGGCCTTTCGATTGGACTGCAAGATTGGAGGTTCCATGTCACCAGCGGCCATGCCACCAGCTAGACACGACTTCGCAAGGCTGCCTCGGTACAGATGGGTTTGGCGGTGGCATTGAGGCGAAGAATGAGCTCCCCAGGAGCGCCGCACATGGTCTGGAAGCACACCATGCACGCCTCCCCATCGCTGGCGGATGACCGAGCCTCCTGACGGTGCGTGAGGCAGCATGACACCCCTGTCCCCAGGTCACCGTCGAGAAGAAAGCACCTGCTGTGGGCGAGAACCACATGCTGTGCCAGGTTCTGGGGCATCAAAGGCGCCACACTACACTGCCGGGATCCACAGCGCAAGGGCTTGACACGCAGATGCCACCAGCATCTTGCGGGGTGACCACTGCACAGGGAGGCAAAGGGAAGGGATTGGCTCGCAGAGTGGCATCTCAATGATGAAAGGTGCACCACTAAGCCTTTGTGATCGAGTGTCAACCCCGCACATTGCTGCACACGGCTCTGGTTCCCCCAGCTGCGAAAACTTTGCAACCTGCACTGCACATGTTTAGCGTCAGCCCCCTGCGCACAACCCTCTCAATCCCGATGCACACGCCCCGGGAGGCCCCTGGCATCCGTTCCTGGCCTACCTTGAGACATGTGGGGACCCCAGCATGGCCCTTCCACTCAGAGACCACAGAGCCATCGGCGACGCTCCAGGCCCTCACCGCGCGGTCAGCGCACCCCGACAGAACATACTTGCCGTCGGCGGTGAGGCAGGCCTCCAGGGCCGTGCCGCCCTCGGGAATATTGCTGTGGACCTGCGTGGATGCCAGGGGGGATGCCCGGTCGGCCAGATTGAAAGGACAGGCTCGCCCACCCTCAGCTGGGGTCAGATCGGTTGTGGAACGAGATCAGGGTCCCAGGCTGCTGACCCTGGCTCTGTCTGGCACTGCCATGGCCTGCATCTGCACTGCGGTGCCCTCGGCCCATGCAGCTCCCTTCCGCATGGCCAGTCTTGAGGAACCCGCAACCCCACACACCTTGCGCTCCACTGTGCCCTCAAACGCGTCCATGACGTAGATCCTGCCCTCCACCACCGCCAGCAGGTACTTGCCATCCAGCGAGAATCGCAGCACGGCAAATACGGCGGCCCCGTTCTTCTCGTCCGCGACCTGGGGTGTGTGGGAATGGCATGCTGAGCGTAAGGCTGCGACGAGGATGGCACAGCGATCAGGTGCCCCACGCATGACTGCAGCAAGCGTCCCCCTACGAGGGCCCATCGCGTGACTCAGCCACCCGCCACTGCTCTTCTGCTTGCAGCATACCCACCGGGCACAGCCGTCCAGCCCTGGCAGCTTTTGCGCCCCCTCTGTGCCCTCACCGTGAAGGCTGCAAATGGCCCCTGCCCGTAGTTCCGGGCGTCGTAGAGCTTGACCACCCCGCTCTCGGCGCCCACGCAGAAGACCAGGCCCTGCTCATCGTAGGCCACTGTCGGCAGGCCTGGCGTCTGCAGCATGGCCTGGCAGTGGGGCTGGCGCAGGTCCCAGAGCCGCACCTGCTTGTCTTCCGCCGCGCTCAGGAAGTTGTCCGACTTTGGGGACATGCACAGCGTGGTGACCTTGGCCCCATGTCCCCTGAAGTAACGCACATATCGGTTGCTGTGGAGGTCATGGTACCGCAGCGCATAGTCCGCGCCCTGTACGGCAGATGCGTGTGGGAGGTTAGGGGAGAGGGAAGTAGATTGAGCTACTGCAGTAGCTGCCATTTGCGTAGCGCAGCACTCCAGCGAGCAAGGGCGCGCTCAATGGCTGCCCGCGTCATGCCTTTGGGATCTGATCCCAATCCGGGACTTCACAGGACCCAAACTCCCTCTCCATATGACATTCTTCAGACCAGCAGCTCTACACATGGGACCTTCGCAGGGAACACCACCGCTGGTGCCCTGTCACCTTGTTGCTGCTGTATATGACGGAGCTGGGATCGTGTGTGAAGCACACCGACTTCACTCCATACTTCTTGCTGAGCAGCGCCTGAAGGGCGGTGCCGGTCTCTGTGTCATACAGCCGGATGGCATCGTCGTCTCCACCCGTCACCAGCAGGTCGTGGGTGCGGTGGAAGTCCAAGGAGTTGATACGGTCGGTACTTTCCTGCAAGGTAAAAAGATGCACTTGGCTGAGCATTGATTCGTGGGGCCGCAGGTGGAAGGGGCCCTTCCCTACCCCGTTGCCCAGCCCACCTTGAACACTTTCCCTATCCCGAAAGAGGACAGCACTTCCGGCGTGATCTCCATTCCCACGCCATTACCGAGCCATACTCGTATAATGTGTTGTTTTATGCTGCGATAATTGAGCATCGACGTTGTGTTGTCGTTGGACGAACAACGGGGAAACTCGAGGGAGCGCACGCGCGCGCTAGACCCTCCTCCAGAGGACTTGGTTGTACATCTTTGCGGGTGAAAGGATCGCATGCGCTCGGGAAATATCATCTCGGCAGGAGCGTTAAGCACAAATTGGTGGGGTACATGGATTCTAGAGAACGATGTGTGCAGTTGCTGGATGCTGAGCTCCGTCGTTGCTGCGACTCCACAGCTCTTGAGGCCGAGCATTGGCACCTCACACGCCAAAGGGGAACTGGTCACTGGGATCGCTGTTGGGGTCCTTTGGATCCCACTGCAAGGCAAGGAAGTCAGAGTGAGAGGACCAAAGCACACTGGGCATGCAACTCTCCTTGAAAGGGTACTGGAGCGCATGCCAAGCCCCCACGCCATCAGAGCTTGAAGCGCTAAAAAAAGGCCACCCGAACTGTCCCCCCTTACCTTGACAATGATCTTCCCATCCTCTGAGGTATCAACCCCCCCAATCCTCCGAGATTTGACGCGACGAACAGGAACAGCCACAGAATAGATGGTGCCAAGCTCTGGGTCGGTGGACAGGTTCACCTCAATCTCCTCCTCTGTCTCTATGTCCACATATGCTGACACTGCCTGGACGATGCTTTCCCGCATGCCCGTCAGACTGTCTGGGGTGATGCCACACCTACAAAGCGGAATTAGGTCGCTTGCTGAGGCATGAAAGACGCTGCATCTCGTCACGCCGGCCCATGGGCTGAAGAACTTGCATGGACGGGATTGACGTGCACTCCCGCAAGGCCCACTCCTTGTCCTCACGCCCATCCCACCTGTCTGCCACGAGGATCATCCTGAGCCTGTTCTTTCCCTCGTCCTTGGGGGTCAAGACCGGAGGCTTCTCGGGAAAGAAAATCTGCCAGGCCGCTTTCAGCTTTGCTACGAAGCCTTGCAGGCCAGGGGCCTCGGGCACGGGGTGCCCCGCATTCCGCAGATGGGCCAGGTGTGCATCCGACACCGGCCCTGCACCGGCCTTGGAGCTATTCCTCACATGTAGACGATTCAAAGTCGGCTTGGAAACACGCCGAGTGCCCTGAAGATCATGGTGAGGGACCAGGAAGTGAGAGGGTGGCCCTGGAACCCCATCTGCAGGGCTCGGAATCAGCCGAAGACAATGCCACGCACCTTCAGGCCGGACCAGGATCTATGTGGGGCGAAGGTACCCTGTTGCAGGAGGGTAGCCATCTGAAGATCGAGTGAAGAGCGCCCGCAGGGCCCTCGCTCCCGTCAGGTAACACCCTGTCTCGGTCAGCCCCACCCCGCTGGCGGTCCTTGGGGCTTCTCGGTCACAGGCTGCGCGGCTTGATGGGGGAGTAAATCACAGAGCTGAACGGCTGCTTGCTCATGTGGCGCCTCATGTACCTGCTTCGCGTGATTTACAGAATCGCATGCGTTTCAAAAAATCTGGGGATTGCCAGCGTGGCGCGAGTCGTCCAGGTTGCACGGTAAGCATTGTCCCAAGGCATATATCGCTCCTCATTCAGCACAAACCCTGCGCAGAGAACTAAGATTCTTGTAACTCTGAAAATAGTATTCGCGATGCCGGTGCGGGAGCGGGAAGTGCTCGGGGCGCTCATTCTGCTTGCATCTTCGGTATGCATACATGCTTGTGCAACACTGTAGGGAATACTCAACCCTCATGCTGTTACAGGTCTTCACTCTGAGCATCAAGGCAGACCTGGAGAACATAGAAAGTATCAGTTTGCCCGAGGATTCGTCGTACACTCTCACGGTGAGCTTTGCTGAGACAATTGCATGGGCCGGGTGGCAGTATGTTGCAACTCGGGCACTAGTGGAGGGTGCCCATCGGCAGGGCCTGCTCTTCATGCTCGGTATCTTGCAAGGGCAGCTGGGTGCTGTGCAATCACAGAAGTCAACATCTCCCCCCTGCCCCCAACCTTCCTCGCCCACCCCATGTCCAGGTCAAGGACAGTGCCGGTGATGACCAGCGGGAAGGCGTCGTGGTGTCACCCTTGGAAGAGCAGGAGCTCTCCGGGAGTCGCGGCACGGCCCACTTTGCGCTCAAGTGGTCGCGCGACGCCCGGCACGAGGCGAGCCTGAGCTTGCAGCATATCAAGGGTGTTACCCGAGCCCTCACCGCGGCGGATGCTGGCAAGTTTGTGCCCATCGTGGCGTTTGAGTGCAGGGGTCTGGACCCCATCGCCTGGCAGCCTCAGGCGAGTGGTAAGGGGTGGTGCTGCATGCTTCGGGCCTGGGCCTGGGTGCCAGGGCGTCCCAGAAATTCCGCCCGCCCCTGCCCGTTCCAGTATACCACTGAGCGCGCACATGCTCCCACCCCTGCAGGACGGCTTCGTCATAAGGGCGCCGAGCGGCATGGTGTGGGAGGACGTGGACCTTTCCAGTGGGGAGTGGGCAGAGTATGACGAGAAGTCTGGGGAGGCCGTGAGCGTGATGGAGCTGGAGTGGAGATTTGACACGTACCGCCCCAAGAAGTGATGGCGGGCGGAGCAGGGGAGCCAGGGCTGCAAGACGAGTGGCTATCCCGAGGGGGTGGCTCAGAACCAGCAGATACAGCTTGTGGCCTTGCATGCGGGACTGCAAGGTCCCCCTGGAGCTGTCGCTCACCCGGAGGGCGCGCGGATGCGGGCAGCCTCAACATGGCAGTGCCCCCACAGACCAAAAGGCCGGGGCGGTTCCTCTGCTACCGCTGCCCTCAAAACACGGCTTTCCAATGGAGTCGTGTCCCTGCCACGCGGCTCTTGGACTCCCTCTATTACTTGAGCGTGACTCTCGGAGCTCAGCTGGGCTGAGTGGGATATCATCCGACCATGCTTCCAAAATTGCTGCCTGGCTGGGGCTCTGCTTCCCACATGCTCAAAACGATCCTGTCTTGCACCCAGCAGAATGCATAAGAGCATGCGATACCGGATCCCAACTTCTACTACAGAGGCCAAGACAAGGTGACCCGGCTTGGCATGGGTGGATTCCTCATGTAACTGAGAGAGATCCAAAACGATCACCGCATGGTGTCGGAGCCGTGGGCGCGCGCGGAAACTCCACCTCCAGGGTTCTCCCACTCCACGCAATGCCTTCGATCCTATCCCTGCACGCCATGCCCACAGTCTGCGGTCTCGCCGTGCCATGATCCTACAGAGATGGCCATGAATACATTACCTTAGCGTGGACCCCCTTCCCCCGCCGCTCGGGTCGAGGTCCACCCGATCAGCGCACCCGGGATGCGTGGGCCCGTCAGCGCCCGCGGGCGTGGCGATGTGCGCAAGGTGGTCATCCGGCCCCTGAAGCGCCTCGCCACCGGTCTTCCATCTGGGTACGAGGAGGGCGCCTGGGCCCAGCTGGAGACCGCGGTGCTGGCTGTGCAGAGTGGCACCCCCACCTCCACCAGTCTGGAGGAGCTGTACCACGCCGTGGAGTTCCTGTGCAAGGACGGGGGCGGGGCCGGCCTGTACGGCCGCCTGTCCGTCCTGATCCGCGCCCACGCCGCGGCGGTGGTGCAGGGCCTGGCCTCGGCGCCGCCCTCAGCCCCCGTCTTCCTTGAGCAGGTGGGGTCTGCCTGGCGGGCCTACACCTCCCAGCTCCTGCTCACCCGCCAGATCTTCATGTACCTGGACTGCGGCTACCTCAAGGCCTCCGCCAACGTGCCCGGGGTCCGCTCTCTGTACGAGCTGGGCCTGTCGGACTTTGGCGCCGAGCTCGCCGCCCGCCCTGCCCTCGTGGACCGCGTCGTGCGCGGCCTGGTGGACCTGGTGGAGGCCGACCGGAACGGGGCGGCGGTGGATGGGAAGCTGGCCGCGGGCCTGCTCCAGGCCCTGACCCTGCTGCATCTCTACGGCCCCGCCTTCCAGCGGCCACTGCTGGCGGCCACGCTGGCCTACTACACCGCGGAGGGCACGCGTCTCGCTCAGGAGCTGGACGTGCCAGCCTACCTCCTGCACGCCGAGCGCCGGCTGGCGGAGGAGGAGGCGCGCTGCGAGGCCTACCTCGGCCAGCAGAGCAGGGACCTGCTCATGGCCACCCTGAAGGCCAGCCTGCTGGAGGAGCACATGGGTGAGGAAGGGAGGGGCTACTGTAGAAAAGAGTGAAAAGGGGGGAGGGGGCGTGCACACTCGCGCCACCTGCTCCCGAGCTGATGCCCTCGGGAGTGGACAAGGGAACATCTTTTGGCACGGAGGACCATCCAACAGCGCATAAAAGCCGCACGATGCCCCACTCACACCCGCACCTGCACACCGCACCACAGCCTCCCTGCTGCAGCGTGGGCTGGACGCGCTGATCGAGGAGGGCAGGGTGGAGGACCTGTCCCGCGCATACCGCCTGTCGGAGCGCATCGATGCGTTGGACGGCCTGCGCGCAGCCTTCAAGGGCCACGTCCGGCGCGTGGGCCTGGCGCGGGTGGGCGATCTGGAGCGGGAGGGCACTCTGGTCAGCGACCTGCTGACCTGGCGCAGCCGCCTGGAGTCGTACGTGGCGACGGCCTTCGCACGCAGCGAGGCCTTTGCGCAGGCGCTGAAGGAGGCCTTCGAGTACTTCATCAACCAGCGGCAGAACAAGCCGGCGGAGCTGATCGCCAAGTACATCGACGGCGTGATGCGGGGCGGCGTCAAGGGCCTGGCCCAGGACGACATCGACTCGGCCCTGGACGCCGTGCTTGTCCTCTTCCGATACATCCAGGTATTCATTGTTCTCCACGGGAGCCATGTATGGCAGGGGGGGGTATGTGATGGTCAGGCAAGGAGGAGGGGGAGGGGGGCCCGGGAGGGGAGGAGGGACGTAGAGTGAGGAGGAGGACACTCCTGGCCAGGTGCAAAATAGCGACCGGCGGCAGGCTTGGTGGCTTGAGGAGGCAGAATGCTGGATTGCCTTGGCTCGCAGCCCTGCTGGGCTTTCAAGTGGATTGCAGGCGGACTGTGGCGATCAGCAGCGTTGCAAGCTTCCCACTCACCCTCCTACCCGCCCACACCCACACCCACCGCAGGGCAAGGACGTGTTCGAGGCCTTTTACAAAAAGGATCTGGCCAAGCGGCTGCTCCTGGGGCGCAGCTCTTCCATCGACGCAGAGAAGGCGTGCATCAGCAAGCTGAAGGCGGAGTGCGGGGCGCAGTTCACCACCAAGCTGGAGGGCATGTTCAAGGATGTGGAGCTGTCCCACGACGTCGTGGCAGGGTTCCGGGCCTCCCTGGCGGGCCCGGGAGCGGGGCAGCTGGCGGTGGGGGGCGCCGCGGTGCAGGAGATGGGCGTGCACGTCCTGACTCTGGGCTTCTGGCCCTCCTACCCTGCCGACGAGTGCTCCCTGCCCGAGGTCCTCACCGCCAGCCAGCAGGTGTGTGCCCGTGTTGGTGTGTGTTGGTGGGGGCAGGGCGTTTTGGGGGGCGGGCGCTGTCGGGGGATGAGGTGGAAGGTGGTGCGTGGCGGACTGGCCTTGGACACCACGCCACCTCACCCCCCCGCTACACCATCATCCTCTCCAGACATTCAAGGACTTTTACCTGAAAAAGCACTCGGGGCGGCGACTCGTCTGGTACAACTCGCTGGGCACCTGCGTCTTGCGGGCCAGCTTCCGCGCAGGGTCCAAGGAGCTCTCCGTGTCGCTCTTCCAGGCGACCGTGCTCATGCAGTTTGAGCGAGGCACAGACACGCTGAGCCTGGAGGAGCTGGCGGCCGCCACCAACATCGAGGACCGGGAGCTGCGAAGAACCCTGCAGTCGCTGGCGTGTGGGAAGGAGAGGTGCGGGAGAGCATGCGGGGGGTCCCAGCGGCTGGATTGTCTGGGCAAAGGTGGGCAATGGCCAGGGGTGGAGCTTGCGGCTTGCTGGTCAGCCACCTGGGAGACTGGTTTTTATACCACACTGCGCCCTTGGCTGCTCGGACATACGTACCCTTCCTTGGGTCATGACGAGGCAAAGCAGGATCACTCTCACAGCATGATCGGATGCATGCAGCACAGATCCCTCCCCTACAGAGCAGGGGCTGCATTCCCTCCTCCACATTCTCGTGGCCACCCTCTCAACCCCTTCACACCCCCTGCAGGGTGCTCCTCAAGGAGCCCAAGGGGCGCGAGGTGGAGGACGGCGATCGCTTCACCTACAACGAGGGCTACACCAGCCGCCTGTTCCGCGTGAAGATCAACTCCATCCAGCTGCGCGAGAGCGCGGAGGAGAGCGCCAAGACCAACGACCAGGTGCTGCAGGACCGGCAGTACCAGGTGGACGCCGCCGTGGTGCGCATCATGAAGACGCGGCGCACGCTGTCGCACAAGCTGCTGGTGAACGAGCTCATGGTACAGCTCAAGTTCCCCATCAAGGCGGTGAGCGGGGAGGGGGGTGCCCCTTGGGCACGGGGAAGGGGGACTGTGCAGCTCGCGCAGCGAGCTGCATCGCCATCCCTGGGCCGCTTCGGGAGGGACATGCAGCAAATAAGCCCTCCCGCTCCTACAATCATTACCCCCCACACACAATCGTACCCCCCCCCCTCCCACAGTCTTTTTACACCACCCCCCCAAACCCCACCGCTGCAGAGCGACCTGAAGAAGCGGATCGAGTCGCTGATCGAGCGCGAGTACTTGGAACGCGACGTGCGTGACGCGCAGATCTACAACTACCTCGCATAGCGGGCTCGTCCTCCCCTCCCCGGCCGTCTTTCCCTCCCCTCTCCTTGTTCCCTGGCTGCTTAGGCTGTGAGTATGCTTACGACACCTTTCAAGGTTCTCAGCACGGGAAGGAGGGAGCAAAGGGGGAAAGCGCAGAACGCAGCAATGAAGCAAATAGACAGGGGGGAGGCTGGGGAGACGGGAGCATGGACAGGGGCGACCGCCTTGGGCTCGCTCAAGCGCCAACTCCCTGGACCCCACCGACCAACACCGCTGCTCAGTCGACCTCCTCGATCTTGGGGCCTGGGCCGGTGCCCTCGGGGGCGCCGGGGCCGGCGGGGGCGCCGCCTGCAGGGGCGCCGCCGGCCGCGTACAGCTTGGAGATGATGGGGCTGCACACGCCCTCCAGCTCCTCGCGCTGGTGGGAGATCTCCTCCTCCTCGGCCAGCTGGTTGTGGTCCAGCCACTCGATGGCCTTGTCGATGGCGGCCTCCATGGCGGCCTTGTCGCTGGCCTCCAGTTTCTCGGCCACCGAGCCCTCCTTGAGCGTGTTGCGCATGGAGTAGGCGTAGTTCTCCAGCCCGTTGCGCGCCTCCACCTTCTTGGAGTGCGCCTCGTCCTCGCCCTTGTACTTCTCCGCCTCCTGCACCATGCGCTCGATCTCCTCCTTGGACAGGCGCCCCTTGTCGTTGGTGATGGTGATCTTGTTCTTGATCCCCGTCGTCTTGTCCTCCGCACTGACGTTCAGGATGCCGTTGGCGTCCACGTCAAAGGTGACGGTGATCTGGGGCACGCCGCGCGGCGCGGGAGGGATGCCCGTCAGCTCGAACTTGCCCAGCAGGTTGTTGTCCTTGGTGCGCGTGCGCTCACCCTCGTACACCTGAATCAGCACGCCGGGCTGGTTGTCGGAGTAGGTGGAGAACACCTGCTCCTTCTTGGTGGGGATGGTGGTGTTGCGCGCGATCAGCGTCGTCATCACGCCGCCCGCGGTCTCCAGGCCCAGGGAGAGGGGGATGACGTCCAGGAGCAGCAGGTCCTGCACCTTCTCATGCGTCTCGCCGTTCAGGATGGCCGCCTGCAAGTGAGTAGGAACGAGTGGGGGGGATTTGGGAGTCAGGATGTAGGGTTGGAAGTTGCAGGCAAAGGGTACACAAGAAGGATCGATGTGTGGAGTCCAGCAGATCAAGCCCAGGACCGTGCAGACTCGGATCCCCACCCCCCTGCACACCTGGACGGCGGCGCCGTAGGCGACGGCCTCGTCGGGGTTGATGCTCTTGCACAGCTCCTTGCCGTTGAAAAAGTCCTGGAGCAGGGTCTGGACCTTGGGGATACGGGTGGAGCCGCCGACCAGCACCACCTCGTGGATCTGGCCCTTGTCCATCTTGGCGTCGCGGATGACCTTCTCCACCGGGTCCATGCACTTGCGGAACAGGTCCATGTTCAGCTCCTCGAAGCGGGCGCGGGTGATGGCGGAGTAGAAGTCGATGCCCTCGTACAGGGAGTCGATCTCGATGGAGGCCTGGGTGGAGGAGGAGAGCTGGCGCTTGGCGCGCTCGCAGGCAGTGCGCAGGCGGCGCAGCGCGCGCGGGTTGCCGCTGATGTCCTTCTTGTTCTTGCGCTTGAACTCCTGGACGAAGAAGCTGACCAGGCGGTTGTCAAAGTCCTCGCCGCCCAGGTGGGTGTCGCCCGCGGTGGCCTTCACCTCGAAGATGCCCTCCTCGATCGTCAGCAGGGACACATCAAAGGTGCCGCCGCCCAGGTCAAAGATGAGCACGTTCTGCTCGCCGGTGGTGGCGTGCTTCTTGTCCAGGCCGTACGCGATGGCGGCGGCGGTGGGCTCGTTGATGATACGCATGACGTCCAGGCCCGCAATCACGCCGGCGTCCTTGGTCGCCTGGCGCTGGGAGTCGTTGAAGTAGGCGGGCACGGTGACCACCGCCTTCTTCACCTCCTTGTCGGCGCCCACAAAGGACTGGGCCACCTCCTTCATCTTCACCAGCACCATGGAGGAGATCTCCTCGGGGGCAAAGGTCTTGGTCTCGCCCTTGTACTCGACTGCATAGAAGGGAGGGAGGGAGGTGGGTGGTGAATGGACCGAAGGCAGGAGGTGGCGGCGTGTTGGCGCACTGTCAGTGCGAGACGACAGGTGGCATGTAGTCAGGATCGCGCAACAACCATGGTTGTTGATGCATGCCATGCACTCACAGCATGCCACCAAAGAGCCTTCACCACAGGGGAACCCCCCCCCCCTTTCCTCACGACATAACTCACCCTGGATCATGGGCTTCTCGCCAGCACCAGACACGACCTTGAAGGGCCAGTGGGAGATGTCGTGCTGGATGTTGCCGTCGTTGAACTTGCGGCCGATCAGGCGCTTGGCATCGAACACAGTGTTGATGGGGTTCATGGCGACCTGGTTCTTGGCGGCATCGCCGATCAGGCGCTCCGTGTCGGTGAAGGCCACGTACGAGGGCGTGGTACGGTTACCCTGCTCGTTCTGTAAGATACGGGGAGAGAAGGGGGGGGACGTTGAGTGGATCAAGTCTGGCATGCTGGATTACCATAGAAGGCTCCAGAAATCCCAGCCGCCACAGCCTGGCCCATGCTGCACTGGCTCTCCTCCAAACGCGAAGGGATCACTCACGGGGATGATCTCCACACGGTCATGCTGCCTGCGAAGAGAAGGGAGAAGGCGACCATGAGGAAATGGAACGAAGCAAGGGTCGCTGGTCGGGGTGCGAGGTGCAGCGGCGGGAGGATCGGCAAAGTAAGTATTACTCACCAGATGCCGACGCAGGAGTAGGTTGTGCCCAGGTCACTGCAGGAGTGTTGAGGAGAGGCTATGTCAGCATACGAGGAGAAGTAACACGATGCAAAGCGGGTGGCCGTCAGTGCAGGCAGGGGACTTACATGCCGATGGCAGGTCCGTTCGACATGTTTGCGATGTGTGATTGAAAATAGGGGTATTACTGAGGGTACGCAGAAGAGTTAATTGTGTGCAGAATGGTGCCCAGGACGTGCTCGAGCGAGGTTGTCAACCCCAGCGAACAGAAGCTTCCATCGACCAGCGCAGGGGGAGTCGCCGGGGCGCAGAAACTTGTCCCCGGAGAATTTGACCTGGAGCCTGCTGGGTCTTTCTAGACTCGGGGGCCAGCGTCGGGAGCCAACCTTGGTGCTGTATCGCGCTGAGAGCTTTGGGCGAGTATTCTTGGTCTGATCCCATCGATCGCTGCATGCAGACTTTTGGTGCTTATGGGTCGGACGAAGTGCATGAGTGGGTCGAGCTGCATGGCGTTGTTTCCCTCTCCTGGCCGACCCAACATTGGACGATGGGCATATAACATTCTTTTCATCAGGACGAGTGTCATCCACCCTCCATGATCCCATTCCATGCATTGGATTGAGGTTTACCTGACATTGGATGCTATCCTGGGCGTCAGGTCACAGGTGGTTGCAGGGGAGGCATGGGGACGGGGGAGTCCCAGGCACGAGTAGGGCAAGCAGGCAAGTGGAGGTCAAGGCCGTCGACGGGCCCGCCCCGTCCCAGGACCCCCGTGTGCCCCCACGCCGCGGCCATCACTCCTCGATCAGCAGGTGCTGAATGAAGCGGATGCGCCGCATGCCGATGGCGGCCAGGTTCTCGGCGGCGGCGCCCAGGCCCCGCGCCGCGGCGTCGCCCAACCCGCCCCCCGCCGCATGCATCTCGCGGGGCAGGGGCGGGAACATGACCTCCGCCAGCACCACCGCCAGCGCGGCGGGGGCCAGGCCGTTGCGCTCCGCGCGGCGCGGTGCCAGCGCGGCGCGCAGCAGTCCCAGCACGCGCTCGAACAGCTCCAGCCGCGGCCCGCTCAGGGAGCCGCGCACGACGCCCATGGCCGTGGCGGCCTGGCGGGTCGAGCAATGGGGGGGAAAGGGGTTCCTTGGCTCGGGAAAGCACGTGCGAGCCAGAATGCACAAGTGGGGTGTGCAGCTCCCGCGCCCTGGCCCCCCAGGCGCCCCATGCCCTGCACGCACGCACGCCGCCCCAGCATGCGCACGGTGGTGTGGGACGCGACGTCGCACAGCGCCTTGGCGCCCTCCGGCAACACCGGCTCCGGCAGCGCCGCTAGCGCGGCCAGCAGTGCGGCGGCCAGGTCGCGCGGGCCCACGCCGCGTGGCCAGGCCGCCGCGCCGCGGTCCAGCGCCTCGCGGATGGCCGCCAAGGGCTCGGGGTCGGCCGTCCCCGGGGCCAGCTCGCACGCGTCCACCATGAAGAGGCCGGGGGTGCCCAGCGCCTCCTCCTCCTCCAGCGCCTCGATCAGGCGCGCCAGCTCCAGCGGGACGCCGGGCGTGCGCTCGGGCGGGGGACCGCTGCCGCTCCCCGCCGCCGCGGCGCCCGCGTGCGCTGCACCTGAGCTCTCGGCCTCCGAGTCGCCGGCCTCTGCGCCCTCGTCCCCTGCGGCCCCGTCCTCGGAACCCGTTCCCACATCTTTGCCCGCCTGCCACAGCTTGGACATGGGGTAGGGCCCCCGCTCCGCCAGGGTGCGGGGCCGAAGGCCCATCCAGGAGGGCCGGTAGGCGCCGCCCACGGCCAAAAACATGTCGTTCCCGCGCGCGACGCGCAGCACCAGCACCGCATCCAGCGAGCAGGCCCGGGAGGAGAGCAGGGCGTCCGCGCAGCCGCCTGGCCCACCGGACACCAGCGCGCGCAGCGCGACGGTGCGGCGGCCGCCGGCTGGAACAGAGCCCTGCAGCAGCGCGTGTGGGAGGGAGGGGGGGATCCTCAGGTACGCACGTCCCCTCCAGACAAGCGCAGAGATGATCGGAACCCGCGCATGAGGACCAAGGTAAGGGCCGCAGGCGCACCTGGGAGGGCACGACCTCCAGCCAGGGGCAGCTCTGGCCGCCGGGCGTAGGGACCACCTGGAAAATGGCTGGGGCCTGGCCCTCGTTCCGCAGCGTCAGCTCCACTTCCTGGGGCATTTGAAGTCGAGGGGGAGTGCGTGTTCCTTTGTGCAGGGAAAACGGGTGGCAGCAGCAATCCTGCACCGCCGACAGCGATGCACCGATCCCTGAGTACCATGGTCAACCACCATTGACCTCGAGAAGCATCACACCTTGGCCTCGTTGTAGCCCAGGACCCCCAGGTCCACGGACGTCGGCGACAGCTGGCAGTGCGGCGTGGCCGCCATCTCCTTGGCGTCCACCAGCCGCCGCGCGACGTCGATCGCTGCCTCAATCTGTGAAGAGGGCGAGGGTCGTTTGACAGTATGGGTAAGGGTTTGAGGTGGGAGGCTCCTGGGGACCGGGTATCCGACACATCCCACCAAGCCTACCGGGCCCTCGCGGACACAGGGAGGCCCCCCTGTTCCTGCCTTCTATGAGCGCACGCACCTCGTGCCGCAGATACTCGTGAGCGACGAGGAGGTAGGCGGCGCTGACGGGCCTGTGGTCTGACAGCTGGATGCCCTGCGCCGACCTATCGGTCGGGAGGGGAGGAATGTCGTTGGGGCACCTCATCACGCTGTGTCTCCCAGGGCTGGCGTCCATTATTTTCATTGGCGCCGCTCCACCGCCGGCCCCCCCCCCCCCCCTCCGGTTTAACATCTAGAGTGCAGTCCCCCCTCCAGATACAGTGCCTCACATGTAAGCTGTCTGCTTGATGAGGTGCGGGGTCTGGCTCTTGAACAGGATGCGATCCGTCCAGGCCGGCGTTCGCGGCCTCTCCGGTGGGGTCCCAGCCTTGCCAGCCTGGGGTGAGGAGCGCACAGCGGATGGTCTGGCCGCAGCACAGTTGGATGATTGGTTCTGAAGGAGATCTGCACGGCCCAGGATGCTATGCATGCTTGCAAAGGCGCCCACTTCACTGCGGTGCAGTGGCACCGGAGTGGACATCGAGGGCACGACCAGCTCAACACATCACCCCTCCCTTCAGCCCATTCCTCAAGCCCACCCCCCCCAAAATAATCAGCCCCGCACCTCGTTGAGAGGGGGGACGGAAGCCACACCCTCCTCTGCTGCCCTGCTTGCCAGGTTTGCTGCCGTGCCGAGGCCAGGGCTGGCGCTGCCCTCGCCCTCCTGCCCCAGATATCGCGGCGACCCGCGCTTGAACTTGAAGGTCGGGGGGAACCGGATGGGGGCTTCCTGCCAGCCGGCAAAGGCCGCGCCGCTGCGCATGGCATGCAGCAGCTGGTCCCTGGCCAGCAGGGACTCGAGCTCGCCTGGCGGGGGTGTGGAGGAAAGGATGGCGAGTGAATGCAGGAGGAGGACTGAGCTTTGTTATAGTTTGGGAAAGAGGATGTTGTGACAACCAGCCACGGCCTCCTCCTCAGTACAGCCTAAGCAATACCAGCGCAATGTGGAGGTGGGGACGACGATACACCGCTCCCTGCCATGGCCGGTGAAACGAGACTGTCAACCCCATCTCCCTCTCTCACCCCCCTTTCCACAACCACATACAGTAAGAACACACCTTCAGCAATGGCTTTGAGGATGGTCGTGCTCCCCGCCCCGCCCCCATGCAGGCGGTAGTTCAGGTCCCCCATCCAGAAGACGTGCTGCGTGGCCATCATGTGCGACAGGGCGGGCCCCCAGTGCCCGCCCCGGACTGCAGGGCCCGCCACCCGCTGCACGTCTGGGGTCAGGGACCCGGTGGCTGCGCCCAGGGTGGGCCTCGCGACCGAGGCGGTGGTGGCGTCGCCAAAGTAGCCCCGCCTCAGGATCTCCGCGTGGTCGTAGTGGCGCTTTGCCTCATCGCCAGGGTTCTCGCCTGTGAGGGCAGGGTTCGGGGAGCAGGATGGGAGGTGGGGTCCAGCAAGCTCGCACCCTTGGACTTCAGCGGCGGCCCCAGCATCTCACGGCTTCGCCAAGATCGGGCTCGCATACAGATCTTGTTGACCCGTGCTGGCCTCGGTCAGCCCTGCGTCTGTACTCAAAACATCCCCAAGGGCACAGCAGTCGGTGACCCTGCACGTGCACTCACCCGAGGCCAGGTGGGAGCTGACAAAGCACACACCGGTGTCGTACAGCCGCATTCGGATGGCCACCGCGCCTGCAGGGAGGGGGGAAGCCACTTGACTTTTGTCTCCATGGGGCGGCAAGGGCGGTTCAGACTCCACAGCGCCAAAGCCGAATCTGGAAGGAGGCAGGCGCCCGTCCTGCACCGCTCAGACGGCACCAGGCGCCTTCATTGGCCGCCTCCCCCAGTTCGCCCGTTGCGCCCCCTTCCGATGGTAGGTCCCCTTCCACCCTGCGCGCACCCTTGTTCCCCAGGTAGCCCATCATGCCTGTCGCCACCGACAGGATCTGGATGCCATGCACGTGAGGCAGCAGGGAGGCTCGCACCCAGATGGAGAGGTAGATGCCCACCAGCTGCCGCGCGGCAACCTGGGGTGGGCCAGGGAGGGGTCGCTCAAGCGCTCAGCTGCGGAGCCCGAGCTGGCGACGCTGCAGCAGCCTCACCAATCCCGAGCCGGTTACTCTGGCCCGTCTCCCTGCATTGACCAGCCCCCAGAGGGAGGAGAAGACCTGACCACCAAGGCATCCTCATGCCACCCACCATCACACCACAGGCCAGCGGACCTGCACAAAGGCGGCAGGGTCGCCATCGATGCGCGTGTCCAGGGATTCGTCCCCGGACTGGTACTCCTGGTCGGATGTGGAGGAGGTGCCGGGGGAGAGGAAGGCGGGGCTGCTCACGCTCGGCTCGCGCGGGGTGTACTCCACGCCATCCTCTGCCGCAGGGGACGGATCGGTGCCGTTGGTGAGCGCGGCGCTGGGGTCCGCTGCCGCCCAGCGCTCGCCAGCCGTGGGGGCGGCGGCGTCGGCGCTCGCCTCCCGGTCAAGCGTGCTTTCGCCACCAGATTCAGCTGCGTCTGCGAGCCGGACATCGCTAAGGCGTGCCGACAGGTCCCGCGCCTGGGACTGCCTGCCCTCCCGGCCATCGTCGGGCGCCGGTTTGGCCCGAGGTGGTGAGAGCCCAGCGTTCAGTGTGTCGGCCACGAGGGCGTCCCAGCGAGCGACGTTCTCGCCGCTGCCACCCAGGACCACATTTGAGGCGTTAAGAGGGACGACTTCCTGCGGGCAGCGGGGCCGGAGGGGTTGCCATGGCGCGATGTTATGGTCGGGCTCAGCCCTGGTTTGGGGGCTGGCATGGCATGGCCGGGGCGAATAAGTACAGCACACCACATCATTATGACGCAACCTCACACGGCATACTACAAGCGAAGCCGATTCTCGCCCATTCCAGAGGGGCCCGACTGCCAAAACCGGCCTTCGCCGCCAGGCTGCCCACTTGCCTGGAAGGCGACTGCAACCAGATCGGCATGCCGACCTCCACCCAGCCACTCGGTCAAACTCAGGTCCGTGCTGGGAGTCTGTCCATTCACATTATAGGTACTTGCCTGCGCGGGTGGAATGTGCATTAGGTGGTGGCACCGATCACAACACTCCCTCCTGGGCCCCTCTCCCCTTCGGCGGCTAAGGGGTGAAGAGCTTGTCCATCATTGGCACGATATCCCTGCCCGCCGACTCGCCCTCACCAGGATCTTGATCTCGTGGTCAGCGGTGTAAGTCTCCGCTGGCAAGCGCAGGAACTCGTCCCGCACAGCAGTGGACCGTGCGTTGTGGAGAAGGTCCAGGAGGAGGGGGTCCTTATGGTCACGTCCTTCATCGCTCACCCTGGGACTAGGTTCCATGGCAGCATTGTTCAGTGACGACTCTGCCATGCGTCAGGAGTCACAGAGAGAGGGACGATGAGTTTTGTGTCCTCCATGTGAGTTCAAAGGCCGTTTCTTTGCCCCACCCAGATGCCCATGCCGTGGACAGCGGTATATCCAAACCCTGCACAGTTCCGTACCGCTGGCTCGCCGACGCAACTGCTGCAGCTGGCCAACTCCTTCATTGACCTGAGATGGCACATACAACACATAAGGGATGTAATCGCGATGGAGAGGCAGCAGGGCCCCAGTCTCGCCCAGACTGCAGTTTCCCCAAACCTGACTCCCAAACACCCCTCCACAAACAACACACCGCTCGGGATATGGATTGCCTCATGTGTGGCCATGCCCCTCTGGCCGTCACACCATCTCGATCGGATGGTTTCTGGGGCCTGATCACCCGAGCGCAGTGCTCGAGGGTGGGGAGGGAGGGTACCGTCGTGTGGGGTACCCCTGGGGAAGGCACAGTCTTTACTCGCCCACGATCGATACATGAGGCTAATTGGCCGGAACCTCCTGGGCTCGACTGGTCGCTTGCTGACGCCATCATTGGATCTCTGGCGAATAATCACACACTCTCATCTGCCTGAGTGTTCTGCATCGAAGCTCGAGTTCGAGGAGGGGTGGTCTCACCCTCCATCCCGGCCAGTCCGGGTCTTTTCCGCGGCGAGGGCAGGTCTCTGCTCCCCGCGTCCTCCAAAATGGCATCATCCACCGCTGCGACCAGCAAAAACCTGGACGCCTGGCTGGAGAAGGTTCAGAAAGCCCAATACCTTGCAGAGGAGGAGCTCAAGTCTCTTTGCGACACGGTCAAGGAAATCCTGGTGGAGGAGTCCAATGTGCAGCCTGTGAACACCCCCGTCACGGTCAGTGTGTCTCCTAGGTTTGGCGTATGGCTTGCGCAGGGCTGTGGGAGGCTGGAGAATCCCACCATGTGTGTATGTGCAAGGGGGAGGGGGGGCCAGCACCCTGTGGTGAAGGTGGCCTGGAGTCTGCCAACCACGCAGCTCCCTGGTGATCTTCTCTGCCCAGCGCGATGGCATGCCTACCAAACAACTGCTGCCCAATAGGTGTGCGGCGACATCCATGGCCAGCTGCACGACCTGCTGAAGCTCTTCGAGACGGGGGGCCAGGTCCCCGCCACCAACTACATCTTCATGGGCGACTTTGTGGACCGCGGCTACAACTCCCTGGAGGTCTTCACGCTGCTCATGCTGCTCAAGGCGCGCTGGCCCGCCCACGTCACCCTGCTGCGGGGGAACCACGAGTCGCGGCAGATCACTCAAGTGTGAGTTGCTGTGGGGCGGCTGGTCCTGGCCCCGACCTGGGCGCGACCATGGGTCTGGCTGGAGGGCTGGGGCGGTGGGCAGGGGATCAGAACGTGTGCTCCAGACGGTGCCCGATCTGAGGACACTGCCCGGACACCCATGCCTGCAGGTACGGCTTCTATGACGAATGCCAAAGAAAGTACGGGAACGCCAATGCCTGGCGGTACTGCACGGAGGTCTTTGACTTCCTGACGCTGTCGGTGGGTGACCGAGGGAGGGCTCATCAGGGGAGGGCCCGGGAGCTGTGGGCCCGGGACAAGCTCTCCCCATGTTCTGTTCTTTTGACCGTGTATGGTGGGCCTTCTCATCCTGTGGATCTGCCAGCATGGAAGTATCAGCCGCACCGTCGGGCTGCGTGGGCCCAGTCCATTGCTGACGTCCTGTACCTTCCCTGCCTGGGATGACACACATGTGATGCCAAGACTCCCATTCTTCCCCTCCCACCCTTCGGCCATGCCTCTTCCGGCCGACCCCCCCCCCTGCTGCGTCTGCCACACCCGCAGGCCATCATCGACGGCCGTGTGCTGTGTGTGCACGCCGGCCTCTCGCCCGACATCCGCACGCTTGACCAGGTACGCGTCATCGACAGGGTGTGTGAAATCCCGCACGAGGGGCCCTTCTGCGACCTGATGTGGTCAGACCCTGAGGACATCGACACATGGGCTGTGTCCCCCAGAGGGGCAGGTGTGCAGGGCATTTTAGGTTTGGTTTTTTTCGGGGGGGGGGGGCGGGGGGAGATCGGTTGGGGGTTTTGTTGGAGGGCCTGTGAGTGGGGTCGGTTTTGCTCCCATTCTGTGAGGGGCGAAGGGGGGGTATGGGGAGGCCTTGTAGGCCGTGGCCAAGGTGGGTGCCCATGTCCTATGGATGGCGCCACCGCAGTTGTGCACCCCGGTGCCTAGGAGTATGCAGCACAGTCTGCCGCCCCTACACCACCCCTCCCTTGACTCTGCAGGCTGGCTCTTTGGCGGCAAGGTCACCTCTGAATTCAACCAGATCAATGGTTTGGAGCTCATCTGCCGCGCGCATCAACTGGTCCAGGTGCGAAACCAGGGCTCGAGCATCTTGGCTGGCCTGTTGGCCTGGTAATGGCTCGAGGCCTCGATGGGAAGGTCCCAGCCCTCGTGCTAGGTTTGCTAGGACGCAGCCGAGTTCCTTGACTATGTGGCCGGTAGTGCAAGCCAGAGTTCTGGGCCTCCGCAGTCCCTGTGGCCAGGCGGCATGCATCTTGCCTGCATGCCACCCCACCTGCCCCCTTGCTCAATCCTCTGCACAGGAGGGACTCAAGTACATGTTCAATGACAAGTCGCTGGTCACCGTGTGGTCCGCGCCCAACTACTGCTACCGCTGCGGGAATGTGGCCAGCATCCTCTCCTTTGATGAAAATCTGGAGAGGGTGGTCAAGTATTTCACGGAAACGGAGGAGAACAGCTCCATGATGGCCCCCCGGGCCGCGGTGCCCTACTTTCTGTAAAAGGGGGAGCATTTACTCCCTGTAGGGGAGCTCCAGGGGAGACGCAAAATGAGAGCAGAGATGCCATGCAGAAGCCACATGCATACCTATTGGGCTTGCACTGGCTGTCAAGGTATTTCCAATGATGTGCCCTTCTGCGCACTTGGAACCCAAAGACCTATCCGGGGGGGTAAGGACAACTTTGTTGAGGGCCTGTGATGGGCGGTTTTGCTCCCATTCTGTGAGGGGCAAGGGGGGGGTATGGGGAGGCCTTGTAGGCCGTGGCCAAGGTGGGTGCCCATGTCCTATGGATGGCGCCACCGCAGTTGTGCACCCCGGTGCCTAGGAGTATGCAGCACAGTCTGCCGCCCCTACACCACCCCTCCCTTGACTCTGCAGGCTGGCTCTTTGGCGGCAAGGTCACCTCTGAATTCAACCAGATCAATGGTTTGGAGCTCATCTGCCGCGCGCATCAACTGGTCCAGGTGCGAAACCAGGGCTCGAGCATCTTGGCTGGCCTGTTGGCCTGGTAATGGCTCGAGGCCTCGATGGGAAGGTCCCAGCCCTCGTGCTAGGTTTGCTAGGACGCAGCCGAGTTCCTTGACTATGTGGCCGGTAGTGCAAGCCAGAGTTCTGGGCCTCCGCAGTCCCTGTGGCCAGGCGGCATGCATCTTGCCTGCATGCCACCCCACCTGCCCCCTTGCTCAATCCTCTGCACAGGAGGGACTCAAGTACATGTTCAATGACAAGTCGCTGGTCACCGTGTGGTCCGCGCCCAACTACTGCTACCGCTGCGGGAATGTGGCCAGCATCCTCTCCTTTGATGAAAATCTGGAGAGGGTGGTCAAGTATTTCACGGAAACGGAGGAGAACAGCTCCATGATGGCCCCCCGGGCCGCGGTGCCCTACTTTCTGTAAAAGGGGGAGCATTTACTCCCTGTAGGGGAGCTCCAGGGGAGACGCAAAATGAGAGCAGAGATGCCATGCAGAAGCCACATGCATACCTATTGGGCTTGCACTGGCTGTCAAGGTATTTCCAATGATGTGCCCTTCTGCGCACTTGGAACCCAAAGACCTATCCGGGGGGGTAAGGACAACGGGTAAAAGGAGAGGGAAGCCAGGGCAAGGGGCCGCCGAAGACTGTGGGACGCAATATGACAGTCAAAGAAAAATGTGCCAACATCATGGTATTGACTACTCCAGTCACGATGCGTTTTGCAGCGGAGACGTTGCAGTCCCTGTTTGCCCACTGATTGGTCCACCAATGCAACACTGAGCTTCTCAACACCCTTGCTGACCTACCAGTTTTTGTGGGCATGCAGGGCGGTGTGATTGCCACAGCGCAAATTTGGCATGTTGTGCTCGTTTAGCACCGCGACCCTGCCCGCCCTCCGCAGGCGGCGCAGGAACCTCATGCATGGGACCGGCGGCTGTCTCCACATGACCGGCTCCCGATCCTGTGCCGACCAGGTGCAGGCGCCGACGCTCATAGTCTTGCCGTGAGGTCAACGGGACTGCTCTTGAATCGCATTGATTGCTCGCTGCCGGGGGGCATGAGTTTGCAAGAGCAGCTGATGGAAAGGCTTCCGTATAGCTCACTCCTGCTCGACCACAATGGCAGCCAATGCGCTCGTCTCAGCTGAGCTGCAACCGGGCATTGTGGAGGATGCAGCACAGTAAACTCTGCTGATCGAAGAACTTGACTGTCATATCAATGCGGCCTGTCGCCTACTCCAGGAAGTGGCGGTGGTGCCGAAGGTTCGGCGGCTGGGGGTTGCTGTACTGACTGGCGAGCGAGGTGCGTGCTGCCACGGAGTGCATGTTACAGCCGGGGGCCGGTTCGAAGTACGCTGATGTAAATCGAGTCTGGCGTCATCTGTTTCATCCCTCAAATTACCATCCTGTGCTGGAGGACCCTGAAACGTCCCCGCAAATTTGGGTTCCGGTAACGAGCCGACCCGCGGCTGACATAGCTGCCAATCAGGCGGCGATCGATGCCGCGGTCAACAATTAGCCTCAGGAGCCAAAGACTGGTATGAAGAATTTGGTCCCATAAGGAGGCAAAGGAGGTGTTTACGTGCATCGTAACCACTACGAATGCCTTCGCGGCCTCCCAATTCCTCCGATTGCCGTGTGTTCTAAGCACCCACTGCGGCCCCCCATACAGGATATCGTCTACACCATGAAGGTCGTCATGATCTTCAGCGGCTCTTGGCTCAACTCCACGTCATCAGAACGATGAAGGGGTTCTGGACAATGAAGGAATCTATTCACGAGCCGCTGAAGAACAATGAGGTAGACGATGTACTGTATGGTAGCCCTCAGCGGGCCCATGGAGCCCTCTCATTCGGAGGGAACTGGGAGGCCGCGAAGGAAATCGTCGTGGTTAGGATGCACGTAAACACCTCGCCCACCAACTTGGACAGTCCGTACTAGCCTTTCTTGTAGGCCAACTTCCTCTCGTTGGACTCGTTGACCCCGCCACCAATTTTTGCCTGTGAGGCAGCTACGTCAGCCGCGGTGGGCTCATTTCGGGCAGCCCATTCCATGGGAGACGATTCAAAGTTCTGGGGTAATAGACTACCAGGACCAGGGTTGAGACATAAGACCCGGACCTCGACTGCAACGGCGGACTCGAGCACGGGCCCAAGAGTATAGGCGGAACACACAAGCTCCGGGCTGGCCAGGCACCATAACAACATGTCCATCAAGTCGCAATACCAGTTTCACCCGACACGCAGGAGCAATGCCTATTGAGGTCGATACACCGCGATAGGGGTCGTTCATCGCCTTATCTCCGGAATCTGAGCACTTCTGGCTACATGCCACACGCTGCAACCCACAGTACGACTGTCCCTCCCTCGAGGATGCTGCATGAGGTACGCGGCAATTTATGGTGAGCTGTAGCTTCACCTTCCAGACAGTGTTCATATGATCCACGACGCTGCCATTCAACCACGCTATCAGCCAAGTGCCCAAGGCTTTACAGAGGAAATGCCTGGATCCCGGCTCTCAGCCCCACCAAGGCACACCTCAAATCCAGCTGTGCAAGCCGTGCACACCTTCGTCAATGGTGAGCAACAGCCTGTGCCAAACAAGCTCGCTGTCAGTACGCTCGATCGTATCCCACCGCGCTTCCATCCCCGTGAAGCATATGAAGCCGTGGCAGCGCTTGATCTCTGCTGAGAGGCTGGGCGCAAACCCAAGGGTGATAGTACACAGTTTGATTCTAGCTCTTCTGTGACTGCTGGAGTGATTGATTTGAATGCATGTCCCAGCACTTATATTTACAAAGAATCTATTGGGTACAGCAAATGTTGCTACGTTTTGAAGTATTAGCATTTGCTCTTAACCTTGCTTCGGCTCGTTCTTTCAAAACTCTCACTCTTTCATATATTTCTTGCTTACGTCGTCTTGTCGCCTCACAGTCTGTATATGTTGTGATTCTGTTGTACTCTTGGATGAGTCTCTCAACTTCATCCCTGTCAGCCTGAGATTGGCTGTTCACCCTCACAAAGGACGACGAGGCACCATAGGCAAACATACTCCTTCTGTATATGATATGAAGTGTCTATCAAGGCCCTCAAAGTCAAACGGTCTGGCTCATCCTGTCAGATGGAATGGGGAGGGGTCCTGGTGACATTCAATGAGGGTCTCTTGACGATGGTCCGGCCAAAGGATGCCGGGCAGCCTGTTGCCCGAACTCCAGTGCAGTCATTGTAACCTGAGCAGGATCACCCCACCTAGCCCCCGAACCCGGACCTGTCTACCCAGAAACGCTGCGGTTTGTCCTTCAAGCGCATGCTGGGACTCACCAAAACGTTGGATGGGGCTGGGATGGCCGATGGCGGTCGGGTGGGGGTGCGGAAACCTTCAAAGGGTGGAGGGAGCGCAGACGGGCAAATGTTGGTCGAGACCACAGCTGAAATTAGGGATTGCTTTGTTCAGCACGGGAAAGCTCGTAAACGATAAATGTGCTGTAGAATCTCGGTTTCGCGGTCTTAGGTCTTCTCAGTGAGGGGGCCATGCGCCCTGGGTCGTCAGGAATGGCTATGCTGCTGCATCTGCTTTGCTCCGCGTGCCATCCGGTCACAGGCTGTCAGTCTCGACCCGATGTCAATACCGCCTTTTCTTGCTGGACGTTACGACTGCCGTACTTGGACAACCTGCGCACACCTGCCATGTAGGGTGTGATCTAAAGAGGAGTAAAAGGGGTGGGAGGAGGTGAGGGAGAATGTCCGGGCTACGAAGTAATCGCTAGAATACTTTGGTGCAGTGTACATCACCCAGATGATTTCATGTCTAATATTATCAGTCTTATGGCGGCCTTTCGTGCTACACCTGACCAACAGCGGTGATCTGGCCATCACGAGGGCCAGGAGGAACATGTCTGCTCGCTGCAAGTCAGATGCAGCGATCCCGACAGCAGACAATGCGGCCCCGCACAACAAACCCCTCGTCTGATCAGTGTGGCAGGTGCAATCCCTGTACCGACCCAGGTTTGAGCCTTACAGGCTGACCCCAAGTGGTGGGGGTTTGTCCATGCCAGGATCTATGCATGCATCAGCTGTGCAAGCATGGCATCAAGATCAAGCATACAATGCGCCCAGATGATGTCCAACACCAATTGCAATGCTTCTTGGGGTTCATACCTTGCTCCATTAATGGTGGCCTCAACAGCAGGTGAGCAGCTGTGCACGAGGACAGGGAGGCTGCCGCATGCAGAGGTGAGCTTTGCGACTCACACAGAAGCTCAGTTCAGCTGTCGGTGTCGCCCAGTCACTCCAACACTTGACGTTGACTTCGAGCTGCCGCATCAATCAAGGAGTTGCATACAGACACAGCGCTCATTGCAGCATCCGAGTCCACCACCGGCAGGAGGCATGGCAAGGGGGTCAGTGTCAGATGCGCTTCCTTGATACCTCTCATGACCTGGCATTGACATCCACACACCTACGGAGCTGCGTCGTAACAGCACAATCGTGGAAGAGGATAGATGCCGTCGTGGCTGATCCTCATCGCTCAGTCTCCTCTATGGCTCCCAGCTGATGGCTCATAGATGCTGGGCGAAATGTCGACCTTTCAACGGGTGCCTGAGAGTCAATGCGCATGCTCCACTTTGTAGCATGCATTCACTCACTATGCCTCAGGGATCGCTTATCAATGCCTCTGTGCATGCGGATGCTGGACCCAAATCTCATTGTATTTGTGCCGTGCACAATCGCCAAAGGCGTCAGGCATAGGTGCTCGTTATTCAGGCGCGGGGCAATGCCAGCCTGATCTGTGAAGACTGCTTCTACGATGAAAAGTGGGTAAAGACTACCAGGTTTCTATTCCTGTCTTTGGTATACAAGTGTCAAGCACGACTGCTCAAGGTCATCCTGGGCGGCACACGGCAAGGTAAGAGGGTCCAAATGTGCAGATAAGCAGTGTGGGATACCCCACTTCAGTGCACACACTAGAGGCAGTCGATTTGTAGGGACGTGTCCACTCCGATACGTCGGATGGAAGTGTTGAGGTAAAGACGGCAGTAGGGACATCATTCCTTGAGCAAATAGTTGTGTAAACTTGCGCAGCGCAAGTGGATTTGGCCACCACGGGTGCACCTAAACATTCATCCGATGGGGGTGGGGGTGGGGGTGGGAAGATGGAGGGTGGGGGTGGCGGAGGAGGGGATTGTGGAGGGCTGGGAGGAGGCGATGGTGGTGGAGGGCTGGGAGGCGGTGGACG